AAGAGAAAATATAGAGGCAAAATTAAAAGAGAAAATAAGAAAGCAAAATCATTGAAGATACTGAAAGGCAAGAAAAGACAAAAAGAAGGAAAGTAAAGTCATTTTGAAAACAGGAAGAAACAAGAATCTAGACGGAAAAGCGGATCCAAGAGAAGAAACTGGTCCAAAGGCAAGAAAGTAAAGACATTTTGAAGTTCAGGAAGAGACAAGATTCAAGACGTGAAACTGTACATTGTATGCTATTTCATGTAACTTTCATGTAATAAAAATGCGACCTATCTACACAGTGAGCTCCTTGCTCGAATGGAGTAAACTGTGTGGAGGGAAAATTATTTTAAAAAAAAATAATGTAAGATTTTTAAAAAGTACGCTCCGTGTCAATATGAAATCTGTAGAAGCAGTATCTGCAGCTCCTGTCTATTCCCGGAGTCAGTGTTACTTCCTGGCATCTCTTCGGGGTGGGGGGGGGGGGGCGAATAGTCTACCCCCCCCCCCCCCCGCAAAACGAAATGGCATTTATATAGAGAATATAATATATAGTTTTACCAGTGTCCTCCCCCCTCCCCCACCGGAAAATTTAGTCCGCCCCCCCCCCCCCCCCCCGAAAATATTAAGTACCCCCCCCTCCCCCCGTAGAAAAAAGTCTGGAAACACTGCCCGGGGCTTAGCCGGAGTTATATGATTGGAGGCTTGGATTGATGCGATGGTAGCTCAGTGCTGTTTTTTTTTTAGTGTTTTGTTGTCAAGGGTGTGATTGTTACATTGGTGTCTACTGTTGTTTTGGCCGATTTTGTTTTTTTTCTTGTTGTGTGGTTGGATCGTCGTCTTTCTTCCTTTTGGCTGGCGTTTCTGTTTCCATGGCCGTCTGTGGTTGTGTGACCTTGGAATTTGTAGTCTTGCTGGTGGTTGCTGTGGTTGCTGTGGTTTCTGTGCCGGTGTTACCTTTGATGCTTGTGGTGACTGACCAGCTCGTGTTCCTTGTTGTTTAACATAAACTCTCGATGAAAGATATTGTCGGCTGGGTCTTGTACGTACGCTACCAATACGTCGATCATTACATTCAATCCGGCGTTAGGTGTCGGTTCTGTCAAGTTAAATGTTTTTAAGAGCTGATTCACATGACATTATGCAAGCTGCATGAACACAGTGACCTTTCTAATTTAAATTAATCAACCTTATCAAGAACGTTTACAACGCCATGTTACATAGAATCACGATTGCTTACGAACATCACTTGAATGTGAAGATTACCATTTGAAAGCTGCTCATTGTCCCCATACTGCTCGTTCTCGTCTTTGATCAAACATGGCGGCATGCAGCAGACAGCGAACAAAGGGATATCACTCTGTGAAATGTGGGGCCAATGAGGTTACCCTTGCAATCAACTGGAGACTATTGCCCTTTCAGTGAGGAACTGTGATTGGATGTACACCTCCACGTAGAAGGTTGTCCATACGTTTATTTATGGTTGGGTGCACATCTCCACGTGTGATGAGAAGTAGTAGGTTATCTTTACGTTTATGGTGGAGTGAAATCATAACAAAGAGGAGCTTTATAATCTGACGCTCCATTAGGCTACAAGAAGACGAGAACATGATGGCGGTGGAATTTTTCCCCAACATACTTTGAATTTGCAAAACCTGAAGTAATATTTTATAATTTCAAAAGTATACTTCATTGCTTGAGTATATTAAAATATACAAGCTTATGATTGCCTTCCAGACTGTTATATTTATTTTGTGATTTAAATTAACCTTAAAACAGAATAATGTTCAAAATTGTTGTCATTATTTAAATTTTTTTAGGCACATTGTAAGCTGCCTTCTAAAAAGCTTGGTGGACTCACATAACCAAACTGTAGGTTAATCTAGATCCATAATTTATCTCCTGGATTAGCAAAAAAAATGAAAACATCTGATGATATGAGAATTGCAAATATTTTAAAATTAGATCTAAATATCATGAGACAAACTTTTCTATTATGATATAAAAATTGTGTCTTGTACATTTCTGTTAAACTTTTCACACTTCTTAATTAGGAAACAGCTGAGTTAGATGAATAAACATTTTTAAAAAACTGAAACTAACATAAATAAAGAAACAAAATAAAGAAACAGCTGTGCCTTGAAAGCAGCAGTTTATTCAAAGCTTTATTTGCTACATACAACATTAGTTCTACTTGAACAGTTGTTTCCAACAGATCACCAGAGATATGTATGACATTTATTTACTATTTGCAAACAAGCAATACAAGCACTTTAGATAGGAATGTATTTTTTAAAACTTGCTTCTGAGTGATAAGCTGCAGCTATAGGCAGTTACATAATTCATGGTTACAATTACTACAAAGTATGATAGACCTACATGTATTAAACAAAAAAGGTTATTTTTCATTTCTAGTTGATACATTAAAAAATTATAATTAATTCTATCCTGTACTTCTTGATTAAAATTCGATTTTAAATGGGCCTACATTAATTTAAAATGAATACTATATTTGTGAATTATATTGATTTTGGAACAATTCATAACAATCTATTATACTACATGCTTTATAAACAGTTATATATTATGAGAAATATATCAATAGGCTGTGATCAACTGTGTGAAAAAGGTGTTTAACCTGTAATTTTGCTCACTTCTGTTTGTTACCATATGCATGGAAAAAAAAAACTTTACTGTGAACAATTTGTCTGGAAATACCAAAAATGCTGAAATGAACAAGGGAGACCATTCTTAAATTGAAGTAGGATTTCATTGGCAAAACTAGTTATGGGCTCATTATTAAAACATTTTTTTAAACTCATTTTTCTGCTAATATATTAACAGAATTTATCTTCAGATCAATGACAACACAGGAAAATTAAATATTTAAATAGGCCTAGTAGTTACACTCACAGTTTTGAAATTGTAATAAATATACAATTGATAATGCCAATCAATATAAAACAAGAAAATTTATAAATGCAAGCAATAAATATGTAAATAAATATTGAGACGGTAAATGTTTTGATAATAAAAAAAACATCAATTAGTTATATTTACACACATTTTGTACACAATATAGTCACAGCTCTTAGCATCAGCAGTGTGGCTTCTTTTTTCAGACTAGGGAGGGGAGACAATTCTCATTTCTTCTGGCCCCACATAGACTTACACTACAAGCTATATATTCAGAGTTTCGTTCAGGCAACTCTTCAAAGGCAAAATTAAAGATAAATTTTATAGGCCTTTAAAAAAATACCTTAACCAATGATCCCCACCTCCCTCCCCCCATATGTATTTAAACAGTGAATAGTGGCAACTAAGGGTAGAGAACTCCCTCTCTACACTCTAGCTAAGCTTCTATTAGTCATGAATTATATATGTATTCTATCCATTATAAAATTCTTTTAATCACTGGCAGCTTCTCACTTAGGTGACTGTCAATGACATAATGAAGTATATTGAAGAAAAGTATTTCAACAAAAGAAAATTGTTCTTCTTACAATGGCTCTAAAATTGTTTTAAATTGTTGTCAAATTTAAATTATTTATTAATTAAAATTTACATATAATTTCCAGAGAATGTAAAAAGATTTTTTTTTTAAATCATGTTTACTTTTCCCAAAAAATCATTATTGCACAAAACAAATTGCACCAATTTCATTATGACATGACAATCAACTCAAATAAAAACAAATTTTGGAGTACTGATTAATAAAAGGTACACTTCGTGTGATTAAAACAGTCAAATCAAAGGCTATTTTAATCACACATCAGGTTATACTCTGTGTTATAATATAGTAAAAATCTTTTTTAAAATAAAAGAAAAATCCTTTTAAATAAAGAAAAGAGAATTAAAAGAAAAAAAATGTTTCTGTCTTGTCACAGCCAAAAATTCACATTAAAAAAAAATAAACCTTTATAATTTTGTTGCAAGTTTCAACATGAAAAAATAAAGATGAATTACAATATAAATTTGATGTTATACAATGATCACCAATTATTATTTTTTAAATTGTACAGAGAGGAGCTTGAAGTCAAATAAAAATATTTGTAAATACCATTTTAATATAGCTTTATGTTGTAAAAGTTACAATTGTGTACCTGTTTTCAGTCATCTTCTGCATCATAATTCTATAAGTATTTTAACAATGGCTATTTTCCTACCACTCCTAAAACAGAAAAACTTATTTTACCATGTTTGGATTTGGATAAGGTAAAAGATAGCTCCATTTACATTGCTTGTAAATATCAAATATTATGTAATTATGTTTCTCTGTTTTTGACTTCACAGCAAAATAATTAATTATTATATTAACATTTTCCTATAACTACAAACTACACTAACAGGTTATACAATTCTGTATATGCACACATAATATTAAATTAAGCATTCTAAAATCTATAGCAAGTAGTTGTATTTGTTACTTTCTATGACATTGATATTTAAAATAAATCTTAAATCAGGCAAGAATGAAACAGCAGAGTATAGGCATAAAATTGTGACTAGAATATAAATAGTTTATCAAGTCGTTAGAAATTCCATAATAAATGCATGAAGTAATATTGCTTTATGCTTTAAGAATTTCCTGAATTTTTTATGTAAAAGGCATTGCGTGGAAAATTTAAGCTGGTAAAATGTTACCAGTAGAAAAGATTTTTTTAAATACAATGTCACAAAATAAAATTAGAGATTTATAAGTTGATTAAAAGTAAAAATGTTTTGGAAGGATCAGTTTAACATTTTGTAGATCTTTAAAAGTTCATCAACTTTTAATAAAAAAAAGCAATTTAAAACAAAAAATTCACATGTTAAAGAAAATAAGGACAGCAGAATAAAAGTGTTAAAAAAAAACAACCCATAAAGGCAAGTCCAAAAATAAAAAAAGGCTCAATAACAGTGCTTTTAGTTGTACGAATGCTAAATATTTAACAATTCAGTTTGAGAGTATACATGATTTTGATAAAGATACATTTTAAGCCATATTCTTTTAGGATTGCTAATAGTCTTTCTATACATTTAATTTTTAAAAGTACTGCTCGCAGAAAAAAAAATCATAGAAGAGCATACTGCTTGTATATACTTTTGATTCATTCCTTGTATTCTTATATATATCTAGGCCTATTAAAAAGAAAATATTTTTTATGATCAAAAATGGATCAAAGAATAACAGCATAATTCATAATTTAATTAATATTTTTAGTAAAGATACATTTATTATTTAAAAAGCAAATAAAGTATGTAAATAGCCAACATCCTTTTTAAAAGGAGTAAAAAATAATTGGTACAGGGTTAGAAAAAACCATAAGGTGAGAAGTATCACAACAGACCTACTGCAAGGCAAAAAGACTTGTGGCAACAAGTTAAATGAATACACAACACAGATACACATTTTTGAAAGTATTACAGTAACTCACGATTTTATAGACTTATTTTAAAACACCTGAACATTATAAGATAAATAACTTAAATGTTTTTGAGAATACAATTTATTTTACTTTACCAATAACTGAATCCACTGTACACAGTTCTTGATTGTGTTGCTAAATGTGAATATAAAATGTTCAGTTCTCCACAAGTGGGTTCATATGTTCTCCAGAATAAAGGAGAATGATACCAAATCTACTACAAATATGGAACAAACAATTCTGGACCATAATTTATGCAGCTATGTGACTTTCAGAAGAGTCTTTGTTAAAATCTTCTTGAAGCAGATGATCCCCTACCTGCTGAACCTTGATAAACACTGCTCCGGAGAGTGAACCTTCGACGATGAAAGGTGAATCTTCACTCTTCAGCCTGGCCAGGTCCAGCACATTCTCCACCACCAGCTCTGGGGTTTTGTGTGTGAAGACGTGGTTCTGGCTGACCGTCAGGCCGACAAAACGAAGCTCTTTCTTTTTGCTGTACAGCTGTAGAGTGGCTTCGACCAGCATGGGAGGGTACGGCTTGCTCTCAGTGGCTGACCCAAAAGTGCTGGGCAGGTTCTGGCGAGAGATCTTCAGTGTCACGTTATCATTCTGCCGTCCCATGAAGTTACCGTACAATGATATTGTAGAAAAATGGCCTTTCGGGTAGAAGTTTACTTGAAACTGAGCATTGTGGGTTACCTATGATTAATAAAAAAATATTTAAAAACTCAAGAAAGCTTTGGACTTTAATTTTAGAGGTTAAAAGACAGCAAATCTAATTATTACAGCTAATGTTCATTATTTTTATGTAATAATTTTAGAATCAAATTTTGAGAGGGGTTAATCTGGTTATACAGTAAGAAATATTACCTCTTTAGTAATATAGGCAAAAATTTCAAAAGCACAAATAAGATGTAGTGTATTAACTTTACAGATATGAATTTTACCTCATTGGTAATATAGGCAATAATTTCAAAAACACAAATAAGATGTAGTGTATTAACTTTACAGACATGAATTTTAACTCTGTGGTAATATAGGCAATAATTTCAAAAGAACAACAAAGACGTAGTGTATTAATTTGACCGACATTAATTTCACCTTTTTGTTCTCAGGTTCTAGGCAGGGGAGATAAGGAACTTGACAAGACAAACAAACTCTGCTCTCTATCTTTGGAATATTGGCATAGCTCTTGAGTTCAAACAAAAACCTCATCCCATACATAGGAGAGGTGTAGTTCCTGTATGGCACTTGCTCAGATGGTAGGAATATGCCATTACTGGCCAGTGAGTGGAACCTATAGGCTGTAAGAACAATAAGTATTGACGTAAGTCATCATGTATTCATCCAGTGACAAAACTTATATTTATACACTTCTAGCAGTTTTTGGGAATACAAAATATGACTACCTAATGTAAAACTAGTTAAATTTAGTAACAATTAAATGTATTTCTTAGATTAAGATTATTTTTTTGTATTTGGGAAAGAACTGACCGGCGGCTAATTTCTCTTTTAGAATGTCTGAAAACTGAGGCATTAGTGGAGAAGACTCAATGGTCAGCAGTTCAGTGGGGGTCATCTTGCAGAAGCGCAGCCAGGGGACAATGGTTTCCACATTGTCCTTACGGAACTCCATGTTGTTGTCTGCCATTAGCCACTGCTCCACCTTCAGTGGATAGAATTTAAACACTGGATTATTTTTAGTGTAAGCCTATTAATGCTCCACCTTTAGTGGATAAAATTTAAACACTGAATTATTTTTAGTGAATGTAAGTCTATCAATGCTCCACCGTTAGAGGATAAAATTTAAACACCGGAATTTTTTTTAGTGTATGTAAGTCTATCAATGCTGAATAATTTAAAAAAATAAATAATGCTACAATATTTCAATGAATTTTTTTTCCATGTGGATATTTTGAAAGGGCTCTTGTTCTGTTTGAGCAAATAACCAGGTCAAATTATACATGTAATAAATTCAGTTTTGTTCAGTTAAGTCATCTTCCTATATAGTAAAATCATATATATGTATAACTACTGCATGCATATTCATATGCAACAGGCTTTGGTAAAAATTACCTGCATCATGCACTGGTAACCATTATTATCACACATATGTACAACAACAACAACATGTATATGTATTACAGCAACATGTATATGTACATATGCAACATGTATTTGTACAGCAGCAACATGTATTTGTACAACAGCAACATGTATATGTACAACAGCAACTTCTATATGTGCAACAGCAACAGATTTGTACAGTAACATGTATTTATACAACAGTAACATGTATTTGTACAACAGTAAAATGTATATCTACTAAAGCAACATGTATATGTGCAACAGTAACATGTATTTGTACAACAGTAAAATATATATGTACAACAACACCATCTATAATTGTAAATCACCTTTTCCCAAAGTTTCTTCTCAGACTCCACACACAGCTCTGACATGCCAATAAAATCAACAAGCTCCTCCCTCTCCATCTCCACCCAATCTGGCGCATCAAGGATAACACTAAAATTTGACACAATGAAATTTTTGCAGGTGTCTCTCAGCTTCTCTGGGCCTGTTAGTTTAGAGTAATGGTACCTGTGGAAATGATGGGATGGTTATTAAGTTCATGGACCATACCATTAAGTTTATGTGTCAAGTCGATTAAAACTGAAACTTCTGTGTAAGTGGGGAGAGTAAACTCCCCTGTGGAAACTCATGCTGTGAACTATTGTTATGCTGTGTATATTATTTCTCACAATTTCTACCAAAATGTCTAGTTCAATTACTAATTACAATTAGTATACAATTATGGTGGACACCATAGATTTCGCATGGCTAGATAAATTATTGCCTACCTTTACAACATGTTTGGATTCCTCAGTAAAATTGATCAATTAGGATAAAAGTAAAATACTCTCATATCTGATACACAAGGCAGTGCTGCAGATTTCATGTATTAAACACTGCATGAAGCGATTAAGATTTACATCCAGCTGCCTATTGAAATGGGTTGTACTCAGAGCTATCCTACAGATTTCAATTCAGGGACTAACGTTATAAATAAATTAGTACGAACCACGTCAGAGTTTTATTTTTATCTGGCAACTCTTCAATATGTTTCATCATGTAGTCCACACAAGCGTTTCGGAGGGACTGAACATTGTATTTATCAGCTAGCAGCAAGAGAGGAAGTGCTTTATCTGTGGTCATGTTGATACTGGCTGAGTAAAAATATCTGAGAAATATAAACACAATAAAAAAACGTATGATTATAAAGTCAGAAAGGACCATCTATTTCATCAAGATTAACTTAATAAAGTGACTATTGGCCCATTTACATTGAAAATTAACAACGCCAATGTAAATACTAGAGTTTACAACAGATCTTACATCTTGTTAAATCATCTCAAAATATACAGATAATACAAATTTAATGTATTTCTAAGTGTCCTCTCCTAGATAAAGGGACAGAGTGGTCTAGTGGTAGAGAGCTGGACTGCTAACCCATAAGTCTCGAGTTCGAATCCAGGTTCAAGTCAAGAGACCATCCCTGAGTCCACCCAATTCTGATGGGTACCTAACTCATGTTAGGGAAAGTTAAGGCGGCTGGGCATAGTGCTGACCACACTATCTCTTCATATACCACGGTCACAGAAACAAGTGAACTCTACTTTACTTGCCCTATTGGCCGTCAGGTCTGAAAAGGGAACTTTACTTACTTACTTACTTACTCCTAGATAATAGTATCATTATGAAAAAAACAACTTTTTCACCTTAGAAAATCATAGAACACAGCCTGGCATGCCTCCTCTTCCACCAGCCGAATGTCTTGTTGTCTGCTCTCTTCCCATGCTGAGGAGTCTCCAAACATCGCCCTGCATGCAGAAATTTATTCATTTTTAACTTTTATCATAAACTTCCATGTTATTTTTTTATAACTAGTAATACACACAATGTATACAAGGGCTATGTCCACATCAGAAAGTGTAGCTTTACAATTTACACTGTATCAACAATAGACTGGACTAGATTTTAATAAACTGTGAGTAGTCAGCTGTATTTGACTTCCAAAAACAAAGACAAACTTCTTTTCTTCTTTTACTCTGCCTAAAACAGGGTGCATAGTTTCCCCAAACAATTCAAAGTATTTCCAGATTAGTTTAGGTAGGAATTTAAAATTTCCAAGGAAATATTACTGCATATAAAAATTTACCCCAAGGAGTTTTAAAACTTTACTTCTAAAATAAAGAGAAAAAAGAAAAAGTAACAAAACAACTCTGATTAGTGTCCTGGTATGCTGTTCAGAAATTTTCTCCCAGGCAATGATTATTTTAAAAGCTCACTCGAATACTTTGCTAGCTGAAGCCAAGATAAATCTGTGAGCGTAAAAGCTCTGCTCTCCAACTCGCAGATGGACATCACTGAAACTGGAACTGTTGAAGAGCACGGCAAAGCGCTCCACAAAGGCCTTGGAGTCATCAATCAGCTCACTTCCTGTGTCTGCTTGAAAGGATGACTCCCCTTTGTGCATCTTCTTTTTTGGTGGGTCTTCCATTCTGATGTGGTGAGTGTTATAGGATGAAACATTTCCTGGGGTCAAAATGTAAGGTTTTGTCAGCACATTGTAACAGAAATAGTTCACATACATATGCTAATAAACACACAAATTATAAGCCATATTTAACATGAGAAAGATAGTAAAGAATACTAAATATTAATGTGTCAAATATGGAATGTTTGTTCTTAAAATGAGCAGTATACATTTAAATAAAATATTTGTATTAGATGAATTTATAATTATTATTTACACTAACACATAAGTATTCAGTCTGCATTATTAAGTACATCAAATTTTAAACCCAAGAAATTTAATATGTGAATGTTCACTAAGCTACCATGTAGACAGAGTCATCAAAGAAATGGTGAACTCTACTTCATCTGTCCCATGGACCAGGAGGTCTAAAAACATAACTATTATTTTTATGTAGTTGTGTTCTTTTCACAAATGCATTAGCCCTCATTATACAGATGGAAAAAATCCTCATCTTTATGTTTTTTTAACCTCACAATGGTGATCTCTTTCATCTTTTTTTTTTTAGTGGTCTTTAAAAGAGTTTCTTTGTACAGTTGCCCATATAAGCCTACATACCAATTAAGATTATACCATAGTTAATATAAAACGTCAAGATTTGCTAAATTCTTGATTTTTTTTTTGCACGATTACAAGACTTTCTCTATACTTCGTATATACGAGAAAGCAATAAGACAAATATTTTTTATTCTAAAACTAGCTTACCCATAAATTCTGATCATGATTGTTAATTCAGTCTCCCTTGCCCTTTTATAAAAGGGCATTGTGGTGAGTGATTGACAGAAAAAGACCTTTACTTGGCTACCTGAATTTTTAAATTCTTGTTTGAAAGAGTCACTGCCTATAAAAATAAAGAAAACAGTTTTGCTTTCATGACTAAAAACAGGTTAATTTTGTAATGCTTATGTACTGTACCGATAATCAATAATTTAATGTTCATAACCTTTTATTGGATAAACACAATGTAATAAATTTGGAGAACATATAATTATAATCAAATATAATCCTATACATCTTAATATAAATACTGAACATATTAAATGTGCTTTTCCTGTGTACTATCTCATAAATGTTGAGGTCTTTTAAAAAAATTTAATATAATGCTCACTGAGTCATCAGGTAGATCTAGAATCTAGATTTTAGATATCTAATGACTATAATGATTTACTAATCGTAGACCAAGTTTTAAAATTAGGTAATCTATTGTTTTAGGTGCGTAAAATCGGCGGCTAGTAATGTACGAAACAGTTACCTCATTGTCAAGGCTTTAATAGAGGTATATTATGATATATTTGTGTCAAATATTATAATTAACTAAATAATAAACCAAAATCAATGGCTAAATATATCAATATATTAACACGAGATAAATGGCCCGTTGAGGAAGGATACAACCGGCTCTAGGTTGATAGTGCTGTCTATTTTCTCGGTACTTTAATTTATACAAAATATAGTCATAGGCATATCCCTAAACCATGCACCTAATCTCATTCATGACAAAAGTTGCATTTAGAGTTTCTTTCAGGCAACTCTACTTGGGAGGAGGGGGCTCCGCCCCCCCCCCCTCCCACACACCCCAAAACATGTCTACCGTCCCATTCAACGAAATATAATTATATACTTTTTCCAGTGTCCGCCCCCTCCCAGAAAATTCTACCCCCGCCCCCGAAAATTTCAAGTACCCCCACCCCTCTCCGGGGAGGAAAAAGTCTGAAAGAAACACTGGTCGCATTTGTAGATCATACAAACTAAAGGAAGAATCTGGGCGTGGCTTCGCCCCTACCGGAAGAGATGCTTGAAAAAAAAAACTGCACGCTAAACACTTTTAAGATTAGAAAAAGTTCCCCCCTCCGGGGAGGAAAAAGTCTGAAAGAAACACTGGTGTCGCGCTTAGCCACTACCCGAAGAATTGCATTAAAGAAATTGCAAGAAAACCACTTTTTAGATTAGACACATTAATTAGGCGGTAATTTTATTATAGAGTATCGATGAAGAAATTTCTTTTGAGTTGGGAAGGGGGGAGGGGCTCAGACGTTCTTACGCGGGGGTGGGGCTTCGCCCCTACCCGAAGAATTGAATGAAAGAAACTCTTCATGCAAACCACTTAGATTAGACAAAATTTCCTTTTTATTCAATGTTTACTCGAGAATCAATGACGTCATATTACTGTGGGCATTCTCCGGCTTGATATTATTTTCTACTCTATGCTTTGATATTATTTTCTACTCTATGCTCAATACGACGTCATATTTCGTTTTCGTTTTCGTTTCACTGTGAAAGTTTTTAAATTGCTTGTGTTTTCTCTAGAGCGTTCTTGTCAGTTACATAGACAGATAGATAGACAGACAGCGAAACTATTAGTATTAATTAAACAGCAGTATTTGCGAGCAAGATTTGCTATATAAACAGCAGTCATTTGTAAAATAGAGTGGCTTCCCCTGAATCTCCAGCTATAGGTTTACCAAAAAAAACTTAAACAAGTTGGCTGCTATAGTAAATGAGCATGGTTGCATCTGATGAAAACGTCGCTCGTCTTCATTAATTACTGAAAAGTTTTAATACAATTGTTTAAAAACAGGTACATAAATGAAATTTTGAAACTTTTTTGTAAATTTCAAAATATAAATCCTCCTAAAAATGTGAAATAATTATTAAAATTTAAGGAGTTACCTGTTTTTCACATTACTAGTCGCGGGCGATTTTACACACCTAAAGCGATAGAATACCTAAAATTATATCTATTGTCAAAGAATAATTATTTATTAGTAAAATTATTAGGCCTACTTACTTACTACTTACTAATCTAAAATAGTTCTAGATCTAGATAGATCTATATATAATATATATCAGATCTATCAACCATAAATCTACAGGACTATACTATAAGTTATTCAGTACAAGTACAATGTCTTCATACACATCTAGATCTATCTTCTAGTCTACTGACTATGACAATAATAGATAGATCTCTAGAGTCAAGTACCACTGTAGTCGTTGTAGTTGTCAGCTCCAGGCTGCCCCTACTTGGCACTTGCCCCTAGGGCAGGGCCTAGGCTGTGAGTCACAGTCTAGACTAGAGACATACTACATAGTCTAGATTACATAGATATCTATCTACTTTACTAATATCTATTAGATTTTCTTAGTAAATTTGAAATGTACTCAATTTTCAACTTAAACATGACAACTAAATAAAAAACGTCCATACTTTATCCACTAGGCACTAATTTTGGGAGTTGTTGCAAGTTTTAGACTAAATTATTGAATTTTAAATTTTTTGGTCACTCACAGCTATGGTATGAGGGATCCATCCATGACAACCTGCTTAAAAGCTGAAGGGTTTAACTTTTTAATTGACCGTGAAATAGATCTAATTTTTTTTTACAAGAGAGTTCCTAAAAGTAGAATTGGCCCGTCTATCGTCGGGATATATTTATAGAGGGAAAAAATTTAAGAGAATGTCATCAGAAAAGAATTTTAAAAAAGACAAGACAGAAGTGATGTTTGAATTCTTTTATTTCTTTAATTTTATAACATTTTTTATTGAACAAAAGAGCAAAATAAAAAACCATGCCAGGTAAACGTATCCATTCAAATAGCGGTCACGTGGTCAAAAAAAATAAAAAAATTTGGTTGTCATTTTTTGGACACATCTTATAAAAAAAAGTGTTGAAGATATTTGATTTATTTTTTCATAGAATGATAAAACTAATAATGCTTTACTTTGGAAATCAATTTTGTGAGAGGGAGATCTATATTTAAAAAGTTAAATTATTTTGAATGACACCGACTTTAAATTTAGCCTACATTCCCCAAAGCAATTTCTGAAAATGCTTTTCTGGCATATTTAGCCTTGCCACCTATAGCATGTTTTTATAACGTGAAAACCCGCCATTTTACTCGTGATAAACATTTTTAAAAGTAATTCTAAGAAGGTCTCTGGAACTAAGTCGAAAAACTCGCCGGAAGTCATGGTCCGATCCTTACGCCATGTTCTGGTTAGCAACCAAGGACGCTTTTAAGTTAGTGAGCCTCCCTAATATCTATAAGTATAATCTAGTATTATCTAGAATCTCTAGATGCTAGACTTCACTAGTTCTAGATCTAGGTATAAGTGTAATAATTAATATTTATCCCAAGTTCGCAACTCTACTCACTCCAGTACACTGTACACTCACAGTGAGTTCAGGTTGGTGTTGCTCCAAAATAAAAAAGAAATTAAAAACTTGGCCAGGCCCGGCCGGATTGATTAAATTTATTTTAGTTTAGATTTTAGAACAAACGACTGGTGTCTAGTCTAGAATCTAGAGTTCTAATAACTGTCACGGATTTTTTTGTAAATAAAAAGACTCTAGCATTGCCTACTTACTAGACTAGATCTAGAATCTAGTACTTAGTTACTTCAGCTAAGGAATGTTGCTCTTTCCCAGTCTATTAGTAGATTTCTATTTGTATTTTAGTATTTTTGTTTACCAAAAAAAAAATATCCAAAAAAAAAGATGTTTACGTCCGGGTTTCTATTTTTAGAGTCAAGAACGATAACTTATAAATATACTGACTCTGAAGGGAAGCAATTCGTGGTCTCAGCAGCCATAATCATTCTTTTTTTAGACCATGGGTTCCCAAACTGGTAGACTAAACCCTAGCCATGAAAAAAAAATATTTAGAAGAATATCTGAAATTCGGCTTTACTAACATCACAATGGAAATGGAATAAAAAAATAAACAACGCGTATTGTGCAACGTTGCTCTTAGTCATGAGTCTAGTCTATGAAGCTTTCAGAGCTAAAACGGCATTTTGAGACAAATCATTAGGAACAAATAAAAAAAGATATGGAGTTCTTTCGTCGGCATGAAGCTAGTTGTAAGCGTCAGAGACTTGATCGAACAGGAAGTTTTCCCCAAGAAAACACAGCATTAGTGAAAAGCATCATAGAAGTCCCATTAGAAATTGCCAAGCAAAAACAACACAATAGGAGACAATCTCAAATTTTAAAAAAGAAAAATTAAAAGGACAACTCTTCAATTAGGACACGATCTACACACCTCTTAAACGAATTTTTGTACACCCCCCCCCCCCCCATCCGGATTCCAACATTTACCTTAACCCCTTTTACTGTTTATCCTTTAAAATTTTGTATAACATATATGATAATCATGTACATACTTATTATTAGTACGTTCATTTGAAATTTTCTAAGGGGAGGGGGGGGGGGGGCTATGTCTTTAAGTACAAAGTAGTCTTGTGGACTTAGCAACAATTTCAATAGAATGTGATTACACTTGCAAACTGGAATTGAAGGAATAAGTACAAACTTTTGCGACGAAGGAGGCAAGTAAAATTTGATTTTGATGTCTACTTATAACGTGTATGCAATTGATAGTAAATTAATATGCCACTTTTAATTGTTTTCTTATACATAGGTTTCATTAATTAATCTATGTGAAAGGGGGGGGGGGGGGCGTTTTAATAAGTTTTGCCTAGGGCGCTAAATAACCTGGCCATTTAACATATAGGCTACTCAAGACTTCAAACTTAGGCTCAGCTAACCCATCTAAATTTAGATTAGAATTATTAGAATAAGAAAACATGAAAAACATTTAAAGTTAAAGATTGCATTTTGAAATGTTTTGGCGTGCCCAGTTGCAACAGAATGAGACGGATACAAATTAAATTTGTTGAATAATACTAATAAAAAATGTAACAACCGTCCCTATAGTATCAGATGAAGCTTTTATACATGTAGGCCGAATAAAATAAAAATGATTATCTTTAAACATAATGCACCACTCTGTATAAACCAACTATTTGTAATATAAATAGAGCATGGGTCGCTGTATATTATGTATGGGAGAAGGGTAAATAAAAAGTCACAAGAAGTTATGTAAATATGGTACAATATGTTTAAAGCTAATAATACTCAAGCTATAGGCTTTTGAAAAATTGAAAGTAGAATAAGTTCCACTTCTGATTATCTCAAGTTATGTTGACAGACACACACACAAGATTGCAAAACGATGTTTTTCCTACTCAGGGAGGTGTAAAACATCTGGATTTGCAAAAATCTTTTTTTTTTGCACAAATTACAATACTTTAAATTTCGTATGTGAGAAAGTAAAAAAAAAAAGAGCATTAGTTTAATAACTTTATTCTTTGCAACAATAAAAATTTATGTAAAATACATAGAAAAATCATGTTTAAAAGCTTTCTATCACATGGCAAAAAAAGACAATTGCAATGTTAAGTTGTATAAAGTATCTAACTTCTGAACACAACTAATTTATGGAATAATCTAACTTGTGAACACTACGACAAAAGCTTTAAAAGAAAAAATAGCAGTAAACATTACTAAAGGGATTTGAAAACAGTATTTTTAAATTCAAAATTTGAATACAGCTGTCACAAAAAATCTGTTGAAGACATCTACAAAGTTTCAGAACAAAGTGTATGTGGGTTTATTTGAATGGAAAAAAGTTCAACCTGTATTCAAGCTTCAGTAAACACCATATGTATATAGGTAAAATGAACAATGGACATCAAACAATTTTAAGTAAAGAAAAAAGTAAATACCAAACAAAAAAATTAAAAATTACACTAATGGAGTTAATGATAAACAAAATCTAATTCCTGCAATTCAAAAGCTTTGAACAACAGTTGTAAAATCTAACTTAACACTGCAACTGAGAAAACATTTTATACTAAATGTATAAAAATTTTAAGTCTTCAAATTTCGCTTTTAATAAAATTAAAAAATGTGCACAACAAATAAAATTTAATGCAAATTTCTTAACAAAAGTTACAAAAAGGTCATTAACATATTGCTGTTTGAAAATTTATTCGAGATATGTCTTCCTGATAGTTGTTAAAATGTAATTTTCTCAAACATCTGTTTCATGTCATTTGTTTCTTAAGATATATAGGTGCGTACAGTCCCTCTGATTTTAGCACGGCAAATCGGGCATGATGTCAGGGCAGGTGCACATGTAGAACAGCAAACTAGATGGCCACAGGGTAGAAACACAACACAAACTTCCTCGTCCATACAGATTTTACACTGGCGCTGTTCCTTCAGAAGTCTGTTCTCCTCCATCAACCTCATAGAATCTGAAGTGGATTAAACACATTGATTAAACAGTAGCAAAAAATTTATTTTCTAAAACAAATTAGCTCAATCAGGTGTATATAACTTATTTTTGTGTGAAAAGTAGTACTTATATACACTGCAAAAGAAAAGTATTGATGTACCTTGATTCTCAGATCCACCTGAATGTAAACTTCCATTTTCTGGCTCCAAGTCTTTACCACTTTTAACTTCAGTAGTGGGACTTTCATTCAGATGGTCTGGACTAGAACTATGGCTAAATACAGCCTCAAGGAGAGCTTCTGCACTATTGAAATCCTCACCTGTCAATGTATTAACAGCACAATTTTTTATGGTGAGCTAAGTTGTGTTAACATTTAAAAAACAATACAGAACAGGTTTTTAAAATAAAAATAAAATGTTAACTTTTAAATCAGTGATTTATTATAGACTTCAGAAAAAGAGGGTGCGATGTAACTAGAGCTCAACTCTTACTTCACTAACATCTATATGTATTTGAAGTCATTGATAAATTACCATTTTCTGCTAGTCTATTCCTTATAGCTTTTTTAACCCTCTCTTTGGGAATGTCCATGCGCAGTACAGCTTTCACTATTGGACTGTCCATTCTGGCTGTTACCTCCCTTGGATCAATATCACGCTGACCTGGAATAAAATTGTTTACACTTTTTAAAATTATTCAATAATCAAGCAAGATCATTTTAAAACATTTAAATGTATTTCTTGTTACTCTACCAAGGCCTGCTAGTTGAATTTAAGCAATACAATTTTATTTTAAAAGTAAAAACATTTTTAGTAACCAGCTTTAAAATGCACTGGAAAGAAAATAAGATTGGTCACTCATGAGAATGCTTACATATTTTAGCCTCCATATGCTCTAATTAAAGAAAGCAAATTAGTTTTATTTCTTTATTTTCAGTGCATTTAAATAAAAGCCTATTATAAAGGTCTTTATATGCCCCCCCCCTACTTGTTTCATTTTCAAATTTTTAGTCATTTGTTTGAAATAAAGTTGACACGTAGGATACGACTAATATATTTGCAATCTCTAAAAGACAACTATTTGCCCTTTCTCAGTCTGGTTGACACTCAGGCACAAAATCACCCATGAAAAAACAGTTTAAATTGACAGCCAACTAATTAAGCAATCGCTAATATTTAATCTTGTTATCTCCACTTTTATTTTAAATTTAGTCTTCTTTTAATTTTAATAACTAATTAGAGATTTAAAAAGAGGTATGCCTGTGTTATCAGAGATGGGCACATCTGGAAAGTTTGAACAAAATCTCACATTGTGAACTAAATAAAAGCTTATAAAAAGCAACTTACTTTTTTTACACGCTTCAAACAAAGAATCATAGAAAAAATCACTATCATGATAACCAAGTAAAGCTAACTCAGCATCTAGGGAATCACTACAGCAACAAGACCGTTTCACATAGGAATGCATGTTGTTACAACAGTCACAGGAGTGAGTTGAATTGTAAGCCATTTTTTTTTCTACAGTAGACTAGACTGTCCTCCTGACTATGAATGATGACTGACTTCACCAAATAACCAGTACCCAGGACTGCACAGTTTGGTACTAGGTCATTTAATGAACATGTGAGAAGAGCTCATGTCAGAAATAGACTGTTCCAAAACTAAACAAAACCCTTCAGTGAACACCAGTCATGGGATTTCCCCCCCCCCCCCCCCATATGTATAACTCATAAAACTTACATTTAAAAAAAATTTATATACCTGTAGCTCTGGCTATTTTTAATTCTGTCTCATCTACTGAGGCTGTCTGATAGTCCTATAAATAGTAAAGAATAACTCTTAGAAATGGAAACAAAAAACAGAATCATTAACTACTGTTTTACGTATTTATGCAGTTCAAACAGGTTACCTTGTTTCTAAAAATAAGATGGCCAACACCACCCCCCACATGTTTTTACTCAGCCACAAATTATTAGGACTAATTAGATTTGCATTAACATGTCTCTATATCTTTAGGTTAGTATAAATGTTCTCCATCACACAGCAACTATGGCAACACAAGAATATCTATTAACTTGATGGAGTAATGAAATTCCCAACCTTTAATATTTTACACGCATGCAAATGGATACTTACAGTAAGGTTAATATCTTTCAGTACATTCTCAATGAAGGCTTGGCCTTTAGACTGCTTTACATAAGAGCATCTGGGAAACCAGCGGGCATGTTCCCTCCAAGGATCATCATTAGGTTCCCAATTTCGCAGGCCACCATCACAATAGAAACATTTAACACTATCACCATGGCCTGGTTTGACAAAAATGATAATACAGTATACTCAGAGAATAAAAATAATTTTTAAATGTGCATTACTTTACTATTTACTTAACGTATATTTTAAAAGCTTTCAACTGAAAATTTTTTAACGAATTATACTTGCTAGTATGTAGGTTTTAAAGGGGAACACAGTTTGTAAAAAAATTAGTTGAGTCATGATACATTGAGTTTAAAAATAAAATAATTAAAATATAATTTTTTTTAGTTATCTTTAAAGTAAATGAAAAGGAAACCACATCAACAAGTATAATATTTACACTATTGCAATAGTTTGTATCACAAGTGATAAATCAGGTAACATCAATCTCATTATACAATTAGAGTTCTTTTTACTTTAACTTAAACTACACTAAATCTCAATCAATAATTAGTTAAGTATTTCACAAGTGATAAATCAGGTAACATCAATCTCATTATACAATTAGAATTCTTTTTACTTTAACCTAAACTACACTAAATCTCAATCAACAATTAGTTAAGTATTTCATATACCTGTACATACCCACATAAAAAAATCCAGCTTTAGCAAGGTCAGCAGGCTTTGGATTTTGATTCACATCCCAATTAGAAAATGAGCTCAGCCGAGCTTGATCCATAGCATATTTAGGGTGTTTGGGTTTTCCAGTAACAATAGCTTTGTAAATATCTTTAATAAATGTACACTGAGGGAAATGTTTACGGTGCTCTTCTAAAGGGTTATCGTTATCATTCCAGTTGCGCAAAATTCCCTTACAAAACACACACTGAACTCTGTCAGCAGATCCAATGTAAATAAAGCCAGCTTGAGCAAACTCCTGTAGTGGGGCACCTCGTATGCCAGTCCAGCCTGAAAAAGTTCTAAGTCTAGCCTCCTCAGAATCTTGATACTCCATGAAATCTATCCCAGGGTTTGATGTAGATGTCTGACGATTGGCGATAGTTTCTGAATTTCTCTGAGATCGAGGATCATAGGCACATGACTTAGCCCTTTGGAAATTAGGTCTGCCTGGACTATCTTGGGGTGGAGCCTCTGAAGTGCTGCTTCTTCTGGGTGGTGGGGAATTAGATGAATGTGAAGATCTGGGGACAAAGCTGGTTTTATTTCCTGAAGATGCTGTCATATCTTTTTTAGTTTGCTTGTGATTAACTCTTGGAGAATTGGATAAAGATCTGCTAGTAGAGCTTTGGCGACTGCTGTTTGGGTGGGAGGCAGAGGTTAAGGTATCACCATACATGGCTTTAAGCGTGTCCAAAATTAGTGAAGAAGATGGATAAGGAGATCCGTTTGCCGACGATGATACACGCCTTCCAGCTTCTCTTAACATTAATTTAATCATTTTATATTCTTTGTCACTTGGTATGAGAACAGGTGCATTATTACTTTCAGCATTCAACATAAATGGACAGTGAGGACTTCTGGTGGTATGGACAATACGTGGATCTTGATACCGTTCCCAGTCTTCAACTTTAAGATTACATACAAAGCATCGTACCTCATCTCTCTGGCCAGTGTATAAAAATCCAGCTTTCGCCAAGTCTAACACACTAGGTTTTGTTGGTTTACATTGTATGTCTTGACCAGGCCAGCCTAGATATGTTCCAATCCTAACTATTTCTTTTGAATAAAGTGATGATTCTAAAAGATCCATTAGACACTGAAATTATAAAAGACCTCAATTAAATATTTAACTCAAATAGTATAAAACATGCATTTAATTGTCACAATACAGTATTGTACTTTTTATTAAAAGAAAGGATATAACAAATTGAATTTACAGTTGATAAAAAAAATCTTTTGTCAAACACCTAATAGACACTAATTATTTTTTAGTTACTTGCAAAACATAGAAATCTTTAGGCCTATAACAATAATTATCATAGCTTTACACTAAAAAACTCAACATAAGTATTTTTTTAAATGATGATGGCTGGTATAGTATGCTGTTAAAAATAAGCAGATAAACTATATAGATAAGTAGTATTTTTGGTACTTTTGTGTTTGCCAGCCTTCAAAGAAAATATCATGACTTGTAGCCAGGAACGCTATTCAGAACTGGCATCAAATTTGTTAATTTAGTTACAAAATATTAATTTAAAATGTATTCTTTATTCTTTTATGATGTTGTGACTTTTTTTTTGTATTTCCACATAAGTAGGTCTTGCTCTCTATTTTTATTTTTGTGTTAATTTATATATTTATGTTGTATAGGCTAAACTTCAAAACATTAATTTAAATCAGGGGTCTCCAAACTACGGCCCGCGGGCCGGATGCGGCCCGCGAGGCCCTCTCATCCGGCCCGCGGAGATCATTTTGTTCACGGAAAAAAAACGTTTGTTGGTGATGGCTGAGGAACTTTGCCCAGAAAAATCAAAGACATGCCTGGAAGAAACTGGCCCCCGAACTGAAATTTGATAGTTAATGCGGCCCTCGGACTGAAAAGTTTGGAGACCCCTGATTTAAATGATCCAGAATTGTTTGTGGCAATTTGTAATAGACTACTTGTAAATCAATATTCCTATTAAATTCTATTGAATGATGCAATACAAATAGAATAGCTAAAAGTGGCTAAGACAAATGTACTAATTCTGAGTAATATTAATGGATGATATTTTGAGTCGTCCCTAAGAAAAAAAGGATTTTTTTTACAAGCGGGAGGGGATGGGGCAGTGACCACAGCAATTTTTTAAAACAATTTATGGTATTTCAAGGTTATTTTTCAACATTTCAAACAATTGTAAAAAAATCATAGATGGCCTACATCATTATTTTGTGTCATAGCCTAAAATGAAGTAGATCTAGATCAAGTCATTTTTTTTTCAAGTCAAGAACTCAAAATAACCACGCTACATTTAGATATTTAAATATCAGCGCGTGTATAATGAGATCTCCTGGTCAGGTGTGTAGGGCTAACGGTCAGCGCTACAACAAAAAAGGGGAAGATGCTGTTTGTTTGGAAACACATGCAGCGTAAAGTTGAGTAAAAGTAATATAATGATGCTATGTTGATTAGCCGAATTTACCCAAACCCATGTAGTCATTGATAGCTAGACAGCTACAAATGACAGAAAAAAGTTCGGTCTACAGCATCTCCAATTAAAAAAAAAATGCATGAATGCCTATAATCTCTGACTCTTTTTAACCAATAGTGGGTAAAAAAAACATAAAATCAACAGCGTCCATGTGCAATTACTCTTTCAATAAAGAACAATTTTAGATAGTCTTAGCACATTCACTTGGTAAATTTACACGCCATTGACTTACGAACACCTTGGAAAAGTTTAATTCACAATTATTATTTAAGTCTAGTAATAGATGTTACCGAAAATATCAAATCCCTAATTTACATTATTAGTTAATTATAGTTAATGTACACATTGCATGTAAATGAATTAGTAATTTTGCAGCATGTTTTGAGAGGTGTACTAAAGTACTAAATTTTTGTGAATGTCCACAATCGGGGGGGGGGGGGGGGGGGGGGGGTTCGTCAAAAGTGGATGCATGTGGACAGGGGGGAGGGGGGGGGGGTCTAAAATCTCAAATTTTTGTGGATGTCATAAATTAACCCTCTTGAGACGCCCGGGCCGATCTATCGGCCGCCGGTTTTATAGCCAAAAAGACGACCGGCCGATCTATCGGCCGGGTCTCAGCCGTGATAGTAGAAGCCACACGATTGGCTTTCTAGTATCATATCAGCCAATCAGATTGCTTCTAACTGTTATAGTACATATCTAGCACTTCAATGGCGACTTCCATTGAAAGTTTGCCTCATGTTTTTGTTTTTTATCGATTTTTTTAGTGCCGTGAGTCCTATCGTAAATTTTTTTATGTCCAACAGTCCAGTCATCAAAATATACTAAAAATATACTTAGAAATTCTAATGTAGAAATAATAATTAGTAAATTAGTTCAGATTATTGAATAGATGTTTGTGTATTATTTAGATTAGCATTACAGAGAGAAAAAACGTATTTTTATACAAATTTACTGTAATTTAGTGCCGTCAAATTTTTTTCGTGCATAAATTATGCAAATCAGAAAGCTCACATATATATATGTTGAGATTTTTATTAGATTTATAAAAATCATATTAGCTCATTCAATTTCCTAATAAATAATATATATTTTTATGCATGTAAAATAATTAGTTTATTTTTTTCAAAATTTTTTTGTGATGCAAGTGCAAAACTTGAAAGTAGGCTCCGTCTTCTTAGCACCGGCTCTCTAAAAAAGCTACGTCTTAAGAGGGTTAAATTAAAATGGATGACCCCCTAGGGTACTAGCATGTAGGACTGTATGTCTCTGTAAGTGTGTATAAATTCAAATAAACTGTGAATTGTATGAGTATGAGTGTACATGACTAGGTCTCTTTAGTCTATGCTATCATCCTTTATATTTATAAAAAGTCACACAAAAGACAAAATTAATTTTTGTTTTTCATTTTCTAAAAATAAATTGTAGATCTAGATCTAGTTTTACCTCAGAAAATGGGCCAAAATAATAACACTAATAATATAATAATTAGTAAATGGATTCTAAATCTAGATTCTATGTTTACTTATGTTTAGTGTAAAATAGTATTTAGAATATTTTAGATCTGGGTCTATACTAGATCTAGATCTAGATCTAGTTCAGGACTGGGCTGATCTAGCGATCTAGATCTAGGTTGACTAGGTTCTAGATTACCACTTTAGTAACCTCTAGTCTGTGAGATCTTATTGGGAATTTCCCTTAGAGCGGCATTGCCAGATAATTGAATGGATGCATGCTAAATTAATATTTATAATAATTTAGCCAAAAGTGTTCTTCAGCATGCAATGCTAGAGTAGATTCTGCTTTAATCTTGGACGCATATACTCGCGTATGAAGGAGATCAGAGTTTCTTCCAGGCATCTCTTCGGGGGGGGGGGGGGGGGGGGGGGTCGAAGCCACCCCGAAATTTTTTTACCGCCCCCCCCCCCCGAACGAAATGAAATTTATATAATTTACATAGAAAATATATACTTTTAACAGTGTCCGCCCCCCCCCCCCCCCCGAAGAAAGTTTACCGCCCCCCCCCCCCCCGAAAATTTCAAGTGCCCCCCTGGAGAAAAAAGTCTGGAAGAAACACTGAAGGGGATGTTGGAGGTAAGGGGAGTTAGAAACCCCAAAACAAAAGCTTGCTTTATGTTTTCAAATTTTGAATGGACCTAGACTTCTAATATCTATCATCTAAGTACAATTTTCATCATCACCATTTCCAGTTCCCGATTCCCGGGTTCATCTGTTCCAAAGACAAGGGGATAGTGTGGTCAGCACTCAAGATTTGAACCCGAGACTTTCGGGTTAGTAGTCGAAAGCTCTACCATCACTCAATTACAATAAAGATATAATTGGTTTATAGCTGTGGTGTTGGGTTTTTTAGTTTTTTTTTTGTTGTTGTTGTTGTTGTTGTTTTAACGTGCATATGGCATGAATAGTAGCCTACAATTTTTAAAAGCATTAATATTTAAATTAGGGTTAGAGGTAGGCTAGAGGTTTAGTCTAGGAAAATAATACAAACAACTATTATCGTAGCTAAGATTGAGAGTTTTAACTGAGTTAATGAAATTTAAATCTTTTGTAGCATCTACCGTTAGATGGTAAACACTGTCTTTATTTCATCAACAGCCCATTAGCGGAAATATTTGAGTTGCTTATTTCGTCTACCGTTGAAATAAGCATGACCTCGTATAATGAGAATAAAAAAAAACTTTTTTTACCATTTATAAATAACAATAACTAAAAATATAATGAATAAATCGTCATATTTTACTTGATAAAAATGTTTAATGCATAATAAATTAAGACAATAATTTATTTTTTAGCAAAACCTTTTTCATGAGTGCACAATAAACAGGTAGCCTACTAATTATCGTGACAATTCATCAAAGTAGCAAAAAATAGACCTACATAGTAGGCCTATAGGAGTATTGCTTTTTAAAAAACTCGATTGTTTTGTAGGTTTGCATATAATTGTTAATTATAGGTAAAACATGTTATATCCATCGCATGGTATGAGTCAGCACAGTTTAGTCAATACATTAGACACAACCAAATATTTACAATTCAACAAAGATGTATAACAAAGGTGTCACATAACATAATGAATTAAAATATTTGAGATCAAGGGCTTGGAATTATGCACAGATTTATCTGACATATAATAAACATTTACGTTATAAATATAACTGTACATTAAGGATTCTTTAAACGCCTCACCCCCCCCCCACTTAGATCACACTCTATTGTATCGCCCACTTTAAAATGAGTGCATACATATTTTTTTAAAGGCTCACCTGGCTACTTGGGGTTAAAGGCTGACTAACACGTACATGGTAAATGGTTTTCATGTTAGACTTACGAGATTTTGAAAAGTTTGTATTGTTCATTGGTAGCCTGTGTGTGTGTGGGGGGGGGGGGGGGGGGGGTGTAGTGCGTACATCAGGAATTTACAAGAAACATTTTTGTCTTTTCTTCTAATTAATTTTTTATGAATGATCGATTTTCATTGATTTAAGTTCGGACCTTAAAATATATAGGCTTACAAATAGCTTTTTCATAAATTTTGTTATGGATACGATCAGGGTCTACACCAGGGGTCTCCAAACTACGGAGATCTTTTTGTCCAAGGAAAAATCGTTTGTTGGTGATGATGAGGAACTTTGCGCAGAAAAATCAAAGACATGCCTGGAAGAAACTGGCCCCCGAACTGAAATTTGATAGTTAATGCGGCCCTCGGACTGAAAAGTTTGGAGACCCCTGGTCTACACCATGATAACTGCTGCTTGAAATGACGTAGGTCTACCTCTATATTATTTACAAAGGTTGAAGAGAGAAAGGATTAAGCAAACCGCGCCAAGAAGTATGACATTAAATAAGCGCAAAATAAGAAAGAATAGTAATAAGAAAATGTAGATGAGACAGTGATGAAACGGTGCTTTTTTTCTTTTTGGTAAACGTATCGGTTAAATAAGTGTTTCTTTCAAACAGAAAAATATTAAATTAAACTAGAAAATTAGCTATAACCATTGTCCCCCCTCTCGGAAATTTCATGCCCCCCCCGCCGAAATAAACTGTTTAACATTGCTGTTCTTTCTGCGTCACGCTTCAAAAGACATGTTTATCGCCCATATGTAAAACAAATATTCTACAATTTATAACAAGAAAATTATCAAGCAACGAAACTAATCTACACATTTTTTTCTTTTACCAAATGTTCTATCAATAGTCTGTTAAAGGCTCACGGGGTTGACTGCGGAGAGACCTTTCGATGATGGCTAACTCCTCACGGTCGCGACTATTCAGAGTTGTCAACGGTTCACGAGACAAGCTTTGGGATTTGAGAAGAGCTTCCTCCACGTCATTTTCAGCCCTATCGTTTTGGTAGCGGTAGAACCTAGGTCTGCTTTCGTAATCTCGTATGGGCTCCCGAACGGATGAGTGACGAAATGCCTGTTCAATTTCTCTAGAACTTGCTCCGTCGACAGCGTTCAAGTTTGTTAGAAACTCACGTCTCTGACGCAGCGCCACCTGGACCGCACGTTCTATTTCCCGCATTGTTTTCCTCCAACGATTATGATGGTGCTGTTGATGATGGCGGGTAGATCTTTGTTTTCTGATCAGCAAATTTACCATTGGAGCATCTGCAATGGTAGATATTTTGAAAGTCCGATTAATATGAGTCAGTAATGGGGAAAAATACAAGTATGGTTTATCAATTTGAATGCATGGGTATACAATATTATCATTTCTTAATTAGACTGATTGATTTTATTTTAAGTTGTAGCAGATTTCTAGGTTACACATTAGCCCAATTAAAGCAGCTTGTTGTAAATTAACGGAGCAGAAATGAACTGCCAAAAAATTTAAATAGACATCCCTATGATAGTTTATTAGATCTGAATGGTGGGAAGGTCGATATATAGCACTGGAGAATTCTGGAGAGCGGTAACTGGCAACCCTTACTCAAGCAGAAATAACTAATGAGGATTTCAAAATGAGAAAGCAATATATATATATATATATATATATATATATATATATATATATATATATATATATATATATATATATATATATATATATATACACAAAAATTAAATAAATAAAATAAAGTATATATTAAGACTTACTTGTAAATATTCGTTCCGATTTATTTAAAGTGTCAATCTGTGTTCCATGGTGTGTGGAGATAGGAAGACTGCTGGATGATCCCACAATAAAAACTAGTAAAGACACCACACTGTGGAGGCTGATTTTCTTCATGGTGGAACAGTCAAAATTACAAATAATAATTTTTTTCCAAATCTTGCTGGACTGTTTTGTTTTTATTTAAACGCGCAAAGTTTTTGTTAATATTTTAGTACCTAACTAGCGTACTTTAAACGTAAAATACTGAACGTCGTTGTCTTTTTGGGGCGCTGATGAAACCTATTGCTTTCACAACGGTTGAGCGAGGCTATTTATACACTTTTACCAGGGGGTCCGTGTGTGTATTACCCTAGCGTTTCTTTAAAAAAAATTACCTGGGCTATTTAAAGACCTATCAATTATCTTGTATACGTGTATACTAAATTATGTAAATGTAGGTTCGCTTGATGTTATCAAACGTCCGGAAGAACAGCCGTTAAAATGTCATTCATTCGGAGTGACTGGTGGGTGTCGGAGTGACTCGGGGTGCAGCTTCCCCGGGGTCACTTTACCCGACCTTCACACCTGGGTGTTGCAGTGACGCTTGATTAAAAACAAACACGATTGGAAGTTAAATAAACATCCTGTTTTCCGGATGGTTGAATGGGATTTATTTTGAGGGGATCGGATGATGCTTCACGTGACAACGAGTCACGTGAAACGGATGCAATAGCTGCTCCTAGTCAATAGCATTAGCAAACAACGTAACATCTGATAGATTCGAATGCGAGATTTACCAGCCCGAAATAGTATTTCAGTTGTTAAACTTTAAAAACAAACGAGTAGCCATATGTAGTAAAATAATAAGAACTGGTTTAAAACAGGATGTCATGAAGGATTTCCCAGGATTTGATTTTTTTTTATTGTTAGAATCTAAATGTCATAGTTAAAGTTTGAAATCAAAACAAGCCCCTACTCGGTATAATTAGTATAAATATAACTAGACTATTTTAAAAAATATATAATTTTGCAAAAATAACAACGAAAACTCTGCTTGTATTTAACAATAAAATTGTGACCTATCACATGGGGTTAAGTTACTATTCTTTGGAGCAATTCTTGGCCTTTGAAATTAAAATGCGTAAATTAGAATTAGGGCTTATACTAAATGTAAAAAAAAAATTTAAAATCTCGGTAGGCCTGCAATAATTGTATTGTAGATATTTCATTTATCTTTGTATACACTAACATTCAATAAAAATTAATAGCTTTTTTTATTTTTTATATATTTCATCCTTACATGATTTTATAACCAGAGTTTCTTCCAGGCATCTTTTCCAGGCACCCCCCCCCCCCCCCGAACGAAATGGATTTTATATAGAAAATATATACTTTTAACAGTGTCCCGCCCCCTCCCCCCCCGGAAATTTTGGTCCGCACCCCCCCCCCCCCGAAAATTTTAAGTGCCACCGAAAATTTCAAGTGCCCCCCCCCCCCCCCGGAGAAAAATGTCTGGAAGAAACACTGTTTATAACATCTACAAAAGTGTAAGTCTGGTGTGCCTACAAATTTCAATATTAGTGGGCGGTGGTCTGTTTTGAGGAGCCTATTGTCAATAAAAATTTTAAACAAATTCTAGACGATCGTTCAAAATTGTCTGTAAAAACTGAATAAATTAATATTTAAAAAAGTTTGCCGACGCCCTAGTCTGGATCTAGAGAAGTTGGCAATTAAAACGGTAATAAAACCTCGGTAATCGCCCCGTGACCTTGGTTACCCAAGCATAAAGTCGTTTCATCTTCCATCTAAACTAGATCTTTAAACCAAGGAACGCCTGGGACTACTGTATCCGTATTGTTAGAAAATTTTCCCGTCACTTCTGCTCCCGTCATATCTGACTGAACGTAAATCTACGGGGTTGGAGTAGGAGGGGAGTGCCTTGAACGTAGATCTACGGGGGTGTTGGTAAAGAAGTGCTCCGTATTCTTGTCGAAATACGACTGGTCCAAAATACACACCCACTCCATAGAGCGTTCGCGCCTAAAAGTTTTGTTTAGTGAAGGTTACTCTATGTTTTGTTTGCAATCCATGGAAAAAAGATTTAGATGAAATAGTGGTTTATTCAACCGTAAAAAAAAAAAAAAAAAACTAAAACCAAGCCTGTCTGTTGATCAATTTTTTTTTTACTATTACCCTTTTAATAAAAGCACCCCCCCCCCCCACTCCCACACACACGCACCAGAGTTTCTTCCATCATTCAACCCCCGCTCATGTCAGAGAATGACTTGACTGTCTCCCGTCCTGCGTGAAAACAATCAGTGAAGAACCGTTGCAGACAAAAGAAATGTGTCAAATCAATCCCGTTTATAGGACCTAAGACAGAAGAATGCAGCCAACCCCCCCCCCCTCGAATAGCCGAATAGTCTGGGTTCATTTTGACGAGAGCCTTGAACTAATTTGTCGTAAACCATACTAGTCGGGGGTAAATTTCTCAGGGGCCAGGACGAATTGTCTGGCAAATTCGATGGATTCTTTTGTCAGCAACATCTTGTCAGGAATGTAGTGTCACCAAAGGTGATTTTTCTCACAGTAGGCCCTATTGCTCTAACAATAAAAAAAAAACAACTCAAATGTTTTGAAGTAGTATCTCAAAACCACCCACAACCCACCCACAAGAAGTTTTTCATCTGGCTTTATGCAATCAGCAAGTTGTTAAGATCCTTTTCATTTGAATTTGTCAGATCAAGACGGAGATAAGAACATTGGGAAGGTTAGATCTGCATCATGCCGTGTAAACAGAATCGCTGGTAATCAATGGATGGCACAGCCATTGAAGGAGAGATGGGTAGGTCTTAATTACCCAGGTGTTAACGGAGCTAGCATTTTCTGCCAATCAAAACGACACGGTTTCAAACGGCATTTACGGGAAATATTAAGTACACAGAGGTCAAAATATACTTTCATAAATCGCATTATATATATATATATATATATATATATATATGTGTGTGTGTGTGTTTATATATATATATATATAATATATATATATATATATATATATATATATATATATATATATAAGAATATATGTACATAATGTTGTGTGACCCTTTAACCCTTTTGACTTTTGTATCTCAATAAGTGCCCCACGACACATTTTAATTAAGGTTGTTAATTTGTTTTGTAATATTTAAACTAAGAGTAACACACATAAGACTGTGAGACAACATGGAATTATATGTGTGTGGTCCATTATGATTAATATTACCCCAGGGCCTTATTGTTTGATCCGGTACTGCCTCTAAGTGCACCATTTGTAAACTTTATTCAGCTTAACCGGATGGCGTTAGGATCCCGTTGTTTAATCTGTAACATGTAATCTGGGCTTGCGGGGGACGGTCCCGATTTTTCACCAAGAGAGGAGGAGAGGAGTGATCAACAAGCGAAAACAAACATACTTAATTTTGTAATTAATGGGACTGCGTGGTCGGATAGTAGAGCTCACCCAGGCTCAACTCTTAACAATTTAAAGGGGAAAAAAGGCTTATGGAAAAAGTCACAGAAAAAAGTCACAGGAAAAAAGTTACAGGAAAAAAAGTCACAGGAAAAAAGTCACAGGAAAAAAAATTTACAGGACAAAAAATTTTCACAAATGTGTATCTGCATGGAATTTGTTAATAGTTTTATGTATTAAATATTCAGAAAGTGCAAACCAAACTTAATATTAACTAAATTTAATGTAAACATTTAAGATATAAGTGCGTAGGTTGTATACATATAGATTCTAGTAATATTTATAACCTTCGTATAAGTATTTAGTATAAAGCATGTACATATTAATTCCGTTATACATATAATATTTAATAGAATTTAATAGAATGTTCTCATCGCATTTTTAAAAATAAAACCGGGAGTGATCTCCCCAAAACTTTCTCGAATATTCTTATATAAAACAACAGGGGATGGGAACTCGGGATATAGACATTTTTGATATTTAATCCATTTTAAAATTTGACATAAGATAGAGAATTAGATCTTTTACTTACATGGGAAAGTTAATTTATCTATCTGAAATATTACTCAAGTTATAGGCTTTTGAAAAATTCAAAGTAGAAAAAGTACCACTTCCGATTATCGGAAATCGCTCAAAATATATACGGAACTACGATTTTGATAAAATACTTATATATGAAATTTCATAAACCTAGCTGTAACGGTGCTCAAGTTATCGTGTTTACACTCACACAGACACACAGACATACGGACAAGATTGCAAAACTATGTTTTTCCGACTTAGGGAGGTGTAATACGTCGAGATTTTTTTTTTTTTTTTTTTTTTGCACGATTACAAGACTTGATTTTTTTTGCACGATTACAAGACTTTCTCTATAGGCTTATTTGTATATACGAGAAAGTAATAATAACTTTAAATTAGCGTGAAATGGCATAAAGACGTAGTTAATGTGAGTTGCTGTCCTCTACTCATCGCAGCAAAAATTCAACCAACTTTACTGTCCACATTTATTACGCTCCTAGCAAAAACTGACTTTTTTCTGTTGTTTTTCCTGTGACTTTTTTTTAACGATCACCGGCTTCTAGCACCATTGTCTACTTCACTAATGGGTGTTAACATAAAATGATTGTAATAAGTTAAATATCAAAGAACTGACTACTCTCAGCATTTACACAATAATACCAAGTGCGTTAATAATATAAAAGGAATGCCAAGAGTTCGAAACAGTGTTTCTTACATGCATATCTCCGGAGCGGGGGAGGGGAATGTGCCAACGAAATAAAAAAAAATACATTCGTATAGGTCAGGGGTCAGCAACCTTTTGAAGCGGAAGAGCCAAAAGTTATAATTTTCAAAATTTCCCTGGTTTTAAAGAGCCACTAACATTTTTTTTTTATTTCAAATATTTTATTTTTTTATTAAGATTATTAGTATTTGTTCAAGGAGCTGGAGAGCCGCATCTTGATATCAAAAGAGCCGCAGGTTGCCGACCCTTGGTATAGGTAATACCGACTTAACTCATTTTACGCCACCCCTACCCCTCCAAAACCGGAAGTTTCACAGCCCCCCCCCCCCCTCCCTACCAAGAGAAAAATGTCTGGAAAAAAAATTAAAAACCCTCTTTCTATGTGCTTGACCTTATCTGCCTACTTAACACAAACTGTTCTTATTTTAAAAAGAAAATTAAATTGTCTATCTATTTTAAAAAAAAATATGAATCTATTTTTGTCTAAATTATTCAAAAGACGATGTTATTAGCTGAGATGCAATGATTTGTGTGATTTCCAGTCGTGTAGCCCCGTGTCAAACAGATGTGTATCTCTGGCCTTGCGTGCCTGCACGACGTCCTGTCGCTGCTATCAAAACATCTGCGGGACTATCTTTCTTGCACTATTCCCATCAACAAAAACTCACACCTCGCGCTGGTTGACATTCTTTATCATAATGACGTGACGCCCGGGGGCAGTGTTTTCCGCCTTTAAACGAACTTGTTCCGTTTTTGGACAATCTGTGAAGTTTCGATTTTATTACATTTTCCAACATATTTTTAGACTAAAGTTTTTTGGTTTTAAAAGAAATGCAACACTTTGCATTTTCTTGGGTGAACAAGGGCTATGTAAGAAGAATGAGGAAAAGCTTGCACGTAGCTGTAAATTATATCGGTAGAACACGAAGTTTGACCTCTTGTTTGATCATTAAATGTTACATTTTCAAATACTTTTTGAAATGTCTCAACAAAATTGTTCTGGTCACCCCAGTGAAAAAAAACTTCCTCGTGAGAAAAAAATAATAGAAAACTCTAGGTAAAGACTGGAAAGCCTTTATTTTAATTAGTCTGTGTGATGTGCAGTTTCTTTCAGGCATTTTATCAGGCGGGGGGGGGGGAATAGGGGTGGTACACGTCCACTTCCCGATAGAAATAGAAAAAAAATTACATACAAAATATTTAGACTTACATTAAGGGGTCATCCATAAATGACGTCACGCTTTTTTTGACGATTTTTATCTCCCCCCTCCCCTCCGTCACACGTCGTCACAAAAAGCCAGACCCCCCCCCCCTAAAATGACGTCACACCTCAACCTACAACCCCCCTCAAAATTGCAGTTGAATTTTTAAAAAACATCGATATTTTTCCAAAATCTTGTCTAAACTATTACAATTTATTAAAACAGTTATCTAAAACGCGAAATAACGTCTAAAATTCGTTTTCTAACATTGCTTTTTACTTTCTCGTATATACGAAGTATAGAGAAAGTCTTGTAATCGTGCAAAAAAAAAATCGAGATTTTTACAAATCTCGACGTTTTACACCTCACTGATACGGAAAAACATAATTTTGCAATCTTGTCCGTATGTCTGTCTGTGTGTCTGTCTGTCTGTCTGTGTGTCCGTGTATAAACACGATAACTTGAGTACCGTTACAGCTAGGCTGATGAAATTTCCGGTTATCGGAAATCGCTCAAAAGTTGATACGGATCTACGATTTTGATTAAATACTTATATATGAAATTTCATCAGCCTAGCTGTAACGGTACTCAAGTTATCGTGTTTACACACGGACACACAGACAGACAGACACACAGACAGACACACAGACATACGGACAAGATTGCAAAATTATGTTTTTCCGTATCAGTGAGGTGTAAAACGTCGAGATTTGTAAAAATCTCGATTTTTTTTTTGCACGATTACAAGACTTTCTCTATACTTCGTATATACGAGAAAGTAAAAAAAGACACAACATTAATGCTAAATTTAATCAAATCATTTCCTAGCTTATTCACAATCTCGAGTTCGCACCCCGGGCAGATAAGGAGGTAGCTGAGGAATACAACCCGTCTAGGATAGAAAACTCCAAAATATAAACAGAAAGAAAAGCAGGCTGAAAAGTCGACGTCAGCGGATCAAACAGCACATACCATGCTGACACTTAAAATTGTGTTTCAGGAAACCCACCCACCTTATCAAAATTAAGAACAAAGAAGAAGTTCTTATAGCTTTGATAAACTTCTTAAAAGATAATGAACTGCCTTTGTTTTTTTGTGTTTATTATTAACACTATACTTAGTTATATTTTAAAAGTTTTATTGACCTTTTATTAAATTAAAGACCTATATTGTGTCATGACCTTGACCTACAAGCTTACTTTAAAAAAAAACCGATCTTGTTGTCACATGATAACATCAACTTCCTGGAAAGTCGTCAACATTTTAAAAATACCTTACTTAGTATTTCAAATATAACTTTAGAGCCCCACTCCACTCACAGACCACCCTCAGTGTGCATGCACTAAGCTGTTGCACAGGTTTGTCAGAGGTCTGCAGGTAAAGGAAGTTTGGACTGGTTGATTATAAAAAGTGTTTTTGTGTGACTTTTTTCGTTCAGGAGGGGGGCGGGCAGAAACTAGTACAAGTATAAATTTCCTATATTAATTGTACTTCGTTCGTCGAAGGAGGCAATAGACGTGCTTCCTTGTGTGTTTGGGTGTGTGTGTGTGTGTGGGGGGGGGGGGGGGGTTGCACAGCCCCTCGAAGAGATGCCTGAAAGACTGATAACCGATCAATAGGTTAGCTCGTTGCTTAAGTAGGCCTACAACTAATACACTGGCGATGTTTAAGTTTGATAAGCGCTTTTCAAATTTGAAGTTAGGTCTGTAGATTGGCTATAGTGTCAGAGTTTCTTCCAGGCATCTCATGGATGGGGGGGGGGGGGGGGCGCTCGAAATGGAATTTATACAGACAATATATACTTTTAACAGTGTCCGCCCACCGCAATTTTTGCATTCGCAAGCCCAATGGAAAACTGTGGCCGTGGCTTGTACTCCAGATCATTTAAGATTTATATTGGTGCACGACAAATCGGCCCCCGACAAAAGGATCCAGTCAATTAGTCAAGACAAAAGGGCATTGACATGTCTGATCCCGTCAAATTGGCTCCAGCATATTGAAATCAGACATAAACGCTCCGGATAAATGGGCTCCCGACAAATGGACTCCCAATATATTGGCTCCCGACAAATAAATCCTATGACGCCTCTTGGTACAAAACGTAACCATTTTACTGACTACCGCCATAATCTCCTTTATATGTCTTAATGAAAAACTTCATGAAACAATGCAGTTCAAAGCAAATCGAGCTCTTAAATAAAAGCAAAATACCACTAATTAAGAAATGTTGACAGCCTATTTATTATAACTCGCGTGCAATGTTTCTCCCAGATTTTTTTTCCGGGGGAGGGGGGGGGGGCACTTGATATTTTTTGCGGGTGGGGGGAGGGGGAGGCGGTCTAAATTTTCCGGCGGGTGGCGGACCCGGGCGGGGCGGACACTGGTAAAAGTATATATTTTCTATATACATTCCATTTCGTTCGGGGGGGGGGGGGGGGCAGTAGACTTTCTTCAGGGGGAGGGGGGGGGGGGGGGGCTCCCGTGGCTGCCCCCCCCCCTCAGAAGAGATGCCTGGAAGAAACTACTCGCGTGAAGACCTGAGTGTTGTCAGTTGATTAAACGCGAGCACAGAATCCTAACAAGTATCTAGTTCAGATCTTCAGTTATTGTAATAATCATAAAAAGATGAAGGGTCGGAGCACAAGCTATATAGATCTATCATTGATTAGCCAAAGTTAGTTTTTGGAGATTTACTTCTTCAATGATGTTAAAAATGTTTTATAATGAGTTGCTAACAATATTATTGAATTAACTCTTCTATTTCCTAGTACTCGAAAGTTTGAAACGGTTGGTTTATAATGGGAGGCCACTCTCATCGAACATCAACAATGGCGGACGCCGTTGATGATGGGAACATGCTCATTGACGATGATAAAGCATTGAATATAGAAGCAACTGAAGTTGTTAAAGAAATTGCGTATGCAGTTAAATATGTACAGATATCAACAGTTCTTCCGGCTGATAGAAATTTAATTTATATAAATATTACAACAAAAGAAAATCGTAATATGTGTATAGAACTTTCTCTTCAAGGATTCAGAGTAATTTTTAAAAACTTTTTTTTAGCTTTGTTGAGGCTTGTTCTTGTATTAAGTAGGCCTAGATCTACATATTTTTATTTTGTAATGAGAAAATTGTATTTAGGCCTATAAATGATTAAATGACAAACATTTGTCATTCATTAGGCCTAGTGGCCTAGATATAAATTGAAATTTAAGGTAATCTATCGTTTTGGGTACGTAAAAAATCGCCCGCGGCTATTTATGTACGAAAACGTTACCTCATTGTCAAGGCTTTAATAGAAGTTTATTGTCATACTTTTGTGTCAAATATTATAGATAAATGAATAATAAACCTAAATCAATATAATACTAAATATATTAATATATCGATATAGGCCAGAAATTAACTTTAAACAGCAGTGTCTGAGAGCAAGATTTGCTATATAAACAGCAGCCATTTGTAAAATAGAGTGGCTTCCCCCTGAATCTGGCGCTAAAAGCTTTTAAAAATAAAACTTAGACAAGATGGCTGCTATAGTAAATGAGCATGGTTGCATCTGTTGGAAACATCGCTAGTCTTCATTTATTACGGAAAAGTTTTAATTCAATTGTTTAAAAACAGGTACATAAATGAATCAAGGAAACATTTTTGAATTTTTTAAAAAATAAATCCTACTCAAAATGTGAAATAATTATTAAAATTTAAGGAGTCACCTGTTTTTCACATTACAAATCGCGGGCGATTTTACGTACCCAAAACGATAGATTACCAAATTTAACTATAGAAAGGACTAACGGCACTAAAGTAAAGAGTAAAAAAGTGTGTAGTAAAGAGAAAGCAAAGAAATAAATAGTATAGTTAAGTATAGTATAGTTAAGTATAGTGTATAGTAGTTTTTCTCACTAAATCTAGAATTTACGCAATTATCAATTTAAACATGACCACTAAATAATAGACATGCCTGTTTAATCCATTAGGCACTAACTTTGGAGTTTTTAGTTCGTTTTGAACTAAATTAGTTAATTTAATATTTATTGTCAATCATTGCCATGTCCAACACATCTCTCCATGACAACTCTTCTTAAGCTTGAAGCTAAAGAAAACCACAAATCAGGTTAGACTCCATGCACAAGAGTTCCTCACTAGTGATCACCAAATAGCGGTCACGTGGTTTTTAAAAAATAAAAATAAGTTGGTTGTGATATGGATGCCGGTCTTATAAAAAAACAGCTCACAATATTTGATTTCTTTTTTCATAGACTGATAAAACTAATAATGCTTTACGTTCTCGCTCATTTCTGTACCTACACTGTTGATATTTTTTAAATTCTATTAATTTTAATGAAACCAACTTTTGAATTTAGCCTCCGTTCTCCAAACCAAATTTTAAAATGCTTTTCTGGCATATCTAACCCTGCCACTTATGGTTTGTTGTTATGACATGGAAATCCCGCCATTTTGCGCGTGGTAAACATTTTTAAATGTAATTAGTTGAAGGTCTCTGGAATTTGGCCGAAAAATCACCGGAAATCAAACTTCCGGTCCGGGCGCCATATTGTTGTTAGCAACCGACCACGCCTCCAAGTTAGCGAGAAATACTAGTGTATAGCCAGTATCATGGCCTAGACTGCCCTAGACTAGACTGTTAGAGTTCTAGGCCCTTGACTGCTTGAGTAGATAATAGATATGTCTAACTGGAAATCAGTCTCTAGTCTAAATAAATGGAATTTGCTGGCATAGGTGGAGTATAATAGGCAGAGGTAGAGGAACTTCACTTGCTAGACTGAGTGTTATTACTGTTAAACTAGTGTTAAATTTAAACTTTTAAACTGTTTAGTCACTTATACATAATATCAAACTCTTGTCAAAAGTCAATGCTACATCCCAAACTCTTAAATTAATCCCTAAACTTAATTGAACTTTAATGATGGGTTAGTCAGGCAGGAGAGTTAGCTCCTAAAGCCCTGAGTTCGGACCCACGTGCTGATGAAGCACTTTAGCTGGGGATAGTGACCTATCTAGGAGTGAGAGAAATTAAATCAACTGCTTCCCTGCAGATTGTTCTTGGGTGGACAAATCCATAAAGAAAATGAAGTGTCTATTCCCAGTTGACTGGGAATAGCCGTATTAAGGTTATTCACAGTCGTGACTGTTTTTTGATACATTTAATGTTAAAAACACCCATAAATGCATAGTGTGTGTGGTCGAGTGGACATGTGGGTGGCTGTCGTGTCAGAAGGTGCGGATTTGAACTCATCAGATGCATTCATCCCTTGACACTAGTTGTAGCCCCCTATTATCAAAATTAAATTTTTTCCCCGTTACTCATAAAAGGTTTACTTTTGTAAATTATTTTTTTCCCAACCGGTTGGAGTTTTGAATTTTAATCACATACCCATTAGAGCTGGGTGGACTCAAGAACATTTCAGACTTGAGCTAAGGAACCAGATTCAAGACTGTAGGGTTAGCATTCAGGTGCAATAATATACAACTAGACAGTTTCAGTATGCACTAGGCTGACATGTAACTTTTCTATTAAGTTTTCTTAAATACCTTATTGTTGTAAAACATTGTTTTTGTCAAATTTACAATTACTTACTGAATAAGTTTAAAAGTTTATAAAAATGTTCTTTTTCATTTTGTCCTTAGGTTGTTGGTGCTCAGTACAATGAAGTAAATCAACAGTGTTTCTCACAATATTATGAAACTATATACAGTCTTCTGGATAGTCAAAGTATGGAATACCGAAGTACCTTTTTTGAAACTCTATCTAATAAATTGTTAAATTTACGAAGGCATAGTGATGAGGATACATCAGATGATCAGATGGACACAAAATGACTTTGTGATTTTAGTAGTGTCACTATGTAGCTGGTTGTGATATGGTAGTGCTATCCGTGTATTATTAATTAATTATGCCTCTTTTAATTTTACCTTAGTCATATGTTATGGCCTTTTTTTTAAAAAAAAGTATGTTATATACAAATATATAAATGTTGCATGAATGATTGTTAACTGTTGTTCACTGTTTGCAAAAACTCTATATTGATAATAAAGTTTTGGTGACTGTGTTGTCATATTGCTGTATAAATTTCCATGACTATGCCAGCCAACAATCAGCTAAATTGTAAGATTGTTTGTAATATCTGTAGTACTGGAAATTAGAATATAAATTTTAATATTTAACCAACTGCTATTAACTGTAATATATATTGCTAAGTGCTTAAACATCTAAGTAAAATTAGTTAGAATTAATAGATTTTTGTGAGCTAGATATATGCATGATTTTGTAAAACATTCCATGCAAGCAAGGTATACCAGTAATTTGTATTCAGTTTTTAAGATAAAATCATATTACAGGTTTTTGGGTTAAAACTGGATAAAAAATCCAGCAACAATAACATGATTCTAGATATGTTCTTCATACACTGTACAAACTGCATGGAAAATATTCTCTTCTAGAAATGTCAATTTTATTTAGTAGATCAAAAACGATCTGTGATTTTTTTCTCTCTGTGTGGCTGACTACAAAGATGTTACAATATTACTTATAACTTGCTTGATTTGATATTGTTGTATTGTGCATTAAAATAATAATATAGTAAATGTGAGCTAAATACCAGAATATATTTTAACAAACATATATATATTAAGTAAGTGTGAGTAAATAGGCCTACCTGCTTTGATCATTAAATAATTTGTTTTAATAAACGATATGCATTTCTTTGTTATATAACGAAATATTATTTTCCTGGTACCAAATCTTTATAAATTAATGACAAATTTTATAAAGCACAAGAATATATTTAAGTTTTTAAAAGCTGTTTTCATATTGATTTAAAAAAATTTTTTAGATGGCATATAACAGGGTTTTTATTCAGTTGTAAGCTTTTTCTTAATCCAACTAATGCTTAAATTTATAGAACTGGTCAATCACTTTCTAAACAATGTAATTTTTGTAATTTTAAAATATATTTATTAGGTTTTAGTTTACTCTTTAAAACCAAGCTCAAAGTATAATTCATATTTGAAAGCAATAAAACTTATACTTTGAAATATTTAGTAACCTGAAACTTAAAAAAACTACTATATTTATTATTCTATTAAAGTAATAATTATTTTATAGTGAAAGAAATAAATGAAACTTTGGAGTTACTGCTTTTTATTTCTGCTGTTGACTTTAAGAGCTAGCAACATTTCTGTTTCAAAAACATTTCTATGCAAATTACACTATTTAGCTTTTCTTTTATTGCAATGTAGACATCGCATTTAATGAAGATTCTAATCCAATATTTTTGGTATGCATATTTATTGATTGGTTTTGTATTTTTTTTTAAAATTACATGTCACAGCAATGAACGAGGCAGATTAATTTTATCTTTAACTTTTACTCTTTGAATTTTACCATCATAAATACATTCTCTTATTTTAAGTTAATGGCTTAACTTTAAACTATGTTAAGCATACAGTTTAGGCTTCTAAAAGAAATTTGCCTTGTGCATATTTTTTTAAATCAAAGATGTATATGCAAATTTAAACTGGTATATTGATATATATTTATCAGCATACTGGCATTATTTTTCTTAAAATGATCCACATTTTTAAAAAACTGCTATTCTGAGTCTGTATATTATTCTTCCAAAAATGGTCATGCCAAGAGGTATTGCCATACAATAAAGAAAACAATCTACAGCGATTACATCATTGCCTCTGTTTTCTGTAGTATATTCTCTGCCTTTTTGTGGTAAGAATATACAGCCTTTATTGATTTCTATATTTATGCTACTATTGCAAATGGTGGAGCTGATATTTTTAACTTCTTTAAAATGTGCTTAGTGTGTGTTACAAGGATAGAAATCAATAATTACAAAATATGCAGTTATCTAGGGGTTTGTTTCACTCCATTAACTTACATTTTCTTTCCAATATATATATATATATATATATATATATATATATATATATATATATATATATATATATATATATATATATATATATATATATATATATATATATATACACACACACATATATATATATGTTGGTTTATTAGGTCCCTAAAGCTTTTTTAAAAAATAAACATTTTGTGATGTTGCATACATACTGTTACTGCAAGTATTAGCCTTACAAAGAAGTAATATTAATTTTGATACTTGAGAGATATATATGTTCTCTGATCTAGAGGTTTATACAAATGTGAAAAAAAATTTCATATCTTAAAATTAATTTATTTTTACATAATGCTACAGTTAGTACAAATAAAATACATCCATTTTAAGCTTATATAATGATACATCATGATATAACTTAACTTGACAATAATAGTATTAAGCATGAAGTTTATGTAAAAAATTTAAATGAAAAAATATTTTACTAATGCAGGTTATAAGGTGTCTGTCGCACATGTTTCCTGTTTTATGGACCAACGCAATGTATATTGTTGAATTAGATCTAATGTTTCCTTTTATTGTGTTTACATATTTTAATCAGCTAAACTTCCCTTCTTTCAGTTTTATTACAATAAGAATTTAATTTACTAAAGGTCACCATTTTAAAGAGTGAAGCAACTGTATGTGTTAATAATATATGTGTTGGTTTTTTTCCTAAGTACCTTCTCTGTAGATCAGTGTAATATATTAATTGTATGTGTGTATATAATTATTTGACTTATTTATTTTAAAATATGCATTTTACAGCTTGATAAATGTGATAAAATTCAAAATAGTACAATAGAATACAGTAGTTTATTTTAGAGTAAGTTTAAAAAAAAATTATTTACTTTTTCTTTTTATTAGTATGTTAATATCAAACGTACTAAGATTAGTTTCTTTATCAATTGTGTTTGTTTTTATTCCTATTGACGATTTACGAATTTTATATTGTTTTCTGCTGTAACAAGTGCAATGAATTGGTTCTTTTTAAATTTGATTCATCTTGTTTTTAATCGTACTGCAATCCACTTATTTTAAAATCTTGTATGTAAGTAAAGTACTGTTGTAATCTGGGGTTTCACAAGAAAGGATCACAAACAAATCTAGCTCTTGATATTCTTTACATAAAAAGTTTCAAACTAACCACAGTGCCTCTCTTGAATGTATTTTTTTCATTTCAACACAGTGAGTTAAATGTAATGGTAATTTAATTAGCTGATTTTTTTAAGAGAAGAATTTAGTCCACCTCAATTAAACAAAACTTTGAGATTTACATATAAATATAATTCTTTGAACTTTGTTTTACAACTTCTCATATCACAAAAAACAAAGGGGTTGATTTTCATAATTAATTTCTAAACTTCCAATCTGTTGTGTTTTTTTTTGTAGATTCTTCTGTTGTGAGATGTTTCATTTAAGAAATTTAAAGAACCTATGCTGTCAGTAATAAAAATAACATCTTTTAAAATTGTTATAAGTAGTTGAGTTTTCCATTAGCTGCAATTTTGTTATTCAGTGACATCTTTGCATTTATAATATTCTGAATGGATCAGACCTGTGTAAATTGTGCTTCCAATAAGTTACCTGTTTTTTCTATGACAGGTATAGCTATATGCTTGGAGTATCTTAACAAATGTAGATTATATTAGTTTTGTATATTGGATTTCTCCTTTGAAAATTCTCTTGGTTTTGTAATGATACAGTATCATTGTCTCACATTTAAAATTCTTTAATTGCCAGTAGTATTATCCTTTACTTAGTGCATGAGCTAAATTTTCATTTGTATGCAATGTTGTAACTGCAGTATTTAATGATTGAAAGTTTCTGGTACACTGACTCATGTCAACATTACCATATGTAAACTTGTGCCTTCTCTGCTAATTATTTTTTTATAATATTTTGCTGGTGCCACTTAACAATATTTGCAATATCAAATTTGGCAAGCCAAGGTCTTAACTTTCTTAAACTAACAAGCTATTTTAACTAAACATATATATATATACAAGAACATTTGCATTGGTTAGGTGAATTTAAAGGTATGTAACCAGGTGGACCAAAAAACATTTGTCTTGTATGTATTATTGAAGACATTGCCTAAATTTATTTTCTATGATTGTGCAATAAAAAAGGAAATTATAGCAGTCATTGTGTCCTTTATGAACAGACTTTAACAGTCATAAATAAAATAGTCTGAATTGAAATTGTGGAATCACGAGATTAGAACTAGTTACACTTAGTGTATGAATAGTTCTTGTAAATAATAATTAAATTGGAAGTATACATTTCTGAAGTGAACACAATTCAAAAATACAATTTGTTGCTTTGTGCTGCTTTTCAATAAGCTCAGAAACAAATTTTTGTGTTGAGGTTATGTAATTGTTTTGTAATATCCTTTAAAATTATTTGATTAATAAACTTAAAATATATTTAGACAGCTTTTTTATTAAGCAGAGTAAAAAGAAAAGAGTGAATTTAAGTAAAGGATTTAAAAAATTTAATATGACCTAATATTTTAATTACTTTGTCTATTCAATGACTTATTTAAATGGAACACAGAATTTATATCGTGAACTGCTATGAGAATGTTAAAATGTGCTACTGAATAAATGATCCTTTTATCCTGATTTGGTGAGTTTACTTGTGATTTTTATTTTCAGCATTTAATTGTCTTTCAAGGAAAAGGAAAGCCATGGTACATTTTAAAGTTCAGAATTTATTTTCATAACTTCTTAATGAGCTATTGGAAATAAAAAGTAAAAAATTATCATGCCCATACCTTGCTGAGTTGTATATTCATTCATATTCATGAACTTACAATACAAAAATGAATATGTGTAATATTTTTTACTATAGAGACAATTTTTAATGGCCTAGAAATGAAAGTGGGTTGTTATTCATACAGTTAAATTATACTATGAATGTACATGTACATATCTATAGTTGCAACTAGATTCTATATTCACTAATTTGTAAACATTTAACTTTTTAAATATGTTTTTCTTAAACAGCTAAACAACAGTATCAGAACATAGCAAAAGACAATGCTGACACAAAATACATTCGCAGAAAAATTTCAAGTACACCTTTATGTGCATTAATGCGCGCTGATTTGATAGAATACTAAAATCATACAACTGGATAGGTTATTACAGAAAATAATGTAATAATCAAAATGTACGTTGTACAGATTCTTTTAAAATTAAACCAATGGAATGCATTACTGTTATATTATGAGTTTAACACACTCCATAAACTACATTTTAAAAATTAAACTTTAAATTTAGGTGATTTTTCCATAATTAAAAACAATACATATACTTATCTTTGACACACATGTACAAATGCAAGTTACAATTTTATATTTTTTTAAATATTGGTTCTAAATTATGTATTGAATTTTTTTTACGGGATAAAATATTTAAACCATGGAAATATCGGAAACAAATTTCTCAAAAATAAAGCAAAAGAACAAAAACAATGTTATATAATTTGATTGCACTACAATTTTCAAAGACTTTTCACATAATAATTAATGAATATTTGTGACAAAAATAATTTGGAATATTTTTTTTCATGCATGCATAAATATATTTAAAATATCACAATGTTAATAATTGTTTCTAAAATGATAATTAGCTATTTAGAAAGCTAAATATGAAATTTCAATATATTTTTAAACATTAAAAACCTTGTATGTATACATTATTAATGAACCAAAGACACATCAATATCACTTGTAGTCTGACAAGGGTTCACATGAATTTGCCTACTTCTGCTCTCATTGTACACCTGACCAGGGTTAAAGTCCACAAGATGAGAGGTAAACTGTGATGAGGTGGATGAGGTAGAAATTTGGGAAACAGTCCTTTTAGCCCTTGAGGTTGTATGTATTTGGGAGGATTCCTTATCTGACTCTGTATGCTCATCACTCCCATGATCTGAGGACATTAAAGAATTAACTTTTTGTTTAAATTGACATAATATCATAGAACACAATTTTCTCTTCATTTTACACAAGTGTACTTTTTTAAAATTTTAAACTGTAGAATAAGAAATATTTTGGCAATTTCTTATTAAATCAATTAAAAACAAATGAAAAATAAATAGAATTTTACATTTAATATTACATTTCTTAATTTATTTTCATTTCTATTATATTAACACTTGCATGCACAGTTGAACACACTCCTTCAAATGAGAAATATTCAAGATTTGAAGTTACCTTCTATTAAGTCCATATACTTGTGCAAGCTAACCAAAGGAAAGTGAAGAAATCCAGGCTGCATTGGTACCACATCCAGTGCAATACTATATTTACTTTCCTTCATTGTAAATACACCTGTATGTAAAAAACAAACAAAAAACATTTCAACATTTTGAAATGTGTTCTAGCTGACCTATGGGGCTAACTATATTTTTTTTTAGATCCCTTTAAAAAAATTAAATTAAAAAAAGAGGGCATGTCAAAGCATTATAAAGTAATTGTTAAGATATAATGGTCCCTTTGTCAGGTGGAGTATAAGGTATGTTTCTTTTCCTAGGTAAGTAAAGGGATAGTTTGGTCAGCATTATGCCCAACTACCATTACTGTAGCTACTGTTAGTTTTAGACTGCTAAAGTTAATTTAATTTAATTTATAGTATAAAGCTTAGCAGAGAAGAATAACTTGCCAGTTGATTTCCCACCAATGGCCCAGACATTTCCATTGGCGTGTACTGAGTAAGCAAGTTTAACCCCTTCTAACTGATTGGTTTCTTTAACTTGTTTTATTTTGATGTCTAAGATTGCTGTTTCTCCTGTTGTACAGGATTTGTCTTCTTCGATGCTGGACACAGTGTAAGACAGAATATACAGTGTCTGGGATAAAATGAAACACTTGTTACAATTTTATAACTCACAAGTACAACATAAGTAGCAAAGCATACAGAAAAAAAACCCCAGGAAAAATAACATTCTTTTTTAATTAAGGCTTACATTTTTTAATTAAGCTAATTAGTTATTCTAATACAATGATATGTTTAGTTCCTTTTATAAGTTAAATATTAAAAGATAAATATAATTGGAGAAATTTAATTATGTTTTCTAATAATTTTCTTATGTGAAGTGATATTTCATAAACAACATACTTGGAAATCTTGAATACAACAGCTGTACTCATATTGATGGAGTTCGTTGCTTTTGTGCAACACACTAGAGTAGGTGCATGAAAACACAATGTCTAAAGAAGGTACGACTGGAATGTTGCTGTTGAGTTGCCATAACAACGACAAACTTTGATGTTCATTTACTGGCTGGAAATTTTTAAAATAACAATTTGTAACCAAAATAGACTACATATATTGTCAGTGACTATCTCTAACATGTATTACATTTTTTAAACTACTTAAGTTGTTATGTACCAATATCTGGTCGGGTCTGTTGAGCAGTATAAACTCAACATCTTTACAGCTTGGAGTTTCTAGGCATGGACTTGACAAAACAAAATTTGCTTTGGTTGTTCCATGAATGACAATTTGAAAGTACTTCCTGGAGATAAAAGGTAAACAAAGAAAAATAGTTTCAAAATCTCAGAAAAATAGCTGTAATAGATATAACTAACAAAATAATAAATAGACTTCTCAACAACTATAAGGATTATCTAGATAAGGCCTATACAGAAGAAAAGAACCTTTTGCCATAATGTACTAAAGCAACCCAAGATATAAATAGGGTTTAGCTACAATAACTGATAACCTAACTAATTGGTTATACAAACAGTTGGGTTCAAAGATCGCCATACTACACGCCAGGTGAGTAAAACAAGACTCACTGCTTGCCAGATGTACTCACTGTTTGCCAGATGTGTAAACTCTGTGATCAGCTCGGAAGGGATGAACAAACTCAATTTGACTAGAAAGTGACTTTTTCCATTCATTCACTGTTAGGTTAATCTGCAATGATTAGTAACAATACTGTAACAATATGAACAATACAACAATATAAAAAAAACAAGTGAATGTGAAACAATAAAGAAATAAAGCAAGTCTAATGGAAAACATAAATGCTACCCTACAATACTGTAACAATACAACAATATAAAAAAACAAGTGAATGTGAAACAATAAACAAATAAAGCAAGTCTAATGGAAAACATAAATGCTACCCTACAATACTGTAACAATATGAACAATATAAAAAAACAAGTGGATGTGAAACAATAAACAAATAAAGCAAGTCTAATGGAAAACATAAATGCTACCCTTTTTTTCTGAAAACTTACCTTGCTTTTAACCATAGAGGCACTGTCTTTATCTAATTTCATATAAACGTTTACAGGTATGTCCTGCACAGTGTGAGGATCCATAGCATTCAACAAGACATCTTCTGTGTTGTTGGTATTAGTCAGGTTAAATAATGGCTCTGTCGTGAATGATAGTGTGGATGAATCTTTCAAAGAGTAACTCCCAGATGAACAGGACAGTACTCCCTCTTGGTTGATACCACACACAAAGTGATCTGTAAGAAGTAAATCAAATAAAAAATATGTTCCAGATTACCAAAACATTTCAAGTACTTTGAAACATTCTCTACAGCATAGTAAGGAAAGGCTTACAAGGGAAGGTCAAAGAGTATTCAGACTTCAAGTCTTATTTTTCTCAAAACTGTAAAAACTTAAGTCCCTGGTTTTTTTTGTGTCTAAATTGCAAGTAGAATAGTCTGTGTGGTCAGGTTGTACAATGCAATCCAAAAGCCTTGAGTTCAGTCACTCAGTCCATACACTTAACTCTGATGGGCCCCTAACTCAAGTTAGGAAAGCTACGACCCCTAGGCATGAAAGTGACCCCATTTGCTGAGATCACAGAATTAGATGAACTTGCCTTCATTTGACCTAGTGACATTAGGTCTCAAAGGGTAACATATCTTTTTTAATTCATATATAAATTAAAGTTCAAGAAAAAAAAAAAGAAAGATTTATATGTTAAGTAACAATAGCTTACTGGTTTCTTTAGGTGTTAATGTAAATGTTGGTTCAACGCTGACAACTTTAAAGATAACTTTACTGGACACTGACTTTAAAAGGTCCAAGGACTTAATCCTGAGACAAATCTGACCAAGTTGAAATACTCCTTTTTGATTCATCTTTAAAGAAAAAAATTAAGAAAATATGTTACCAGTAGCACTAGATGGAGTTATTCCATACTACATGTTAATCTGCTGCAAGTATTAAAGAGTTGAAGTATCGAACTAGAGTTATGGAAATAGTAAAATCAACATAACCTAAATTTCTAATAAGCAAAGTGATAAAATACTTTGCAATTTAGCCTATTGACATCTTCAATTATAAACCTTTTCATTTCATAAAATAAAAAAACCCAGTTTGAATGCAATGATTATGAAGTGGATTATTACAGAACTTCATCCAAAAATGGACATGTTTGAAAAATGTGTACTTATTAATGTAGTTGTATTAGATTTATTATTTTCATTATAAATAAAAAATTTCTACAATGATCACCTTTTTTGTAAAAGTCAGACTGTTGTAGCCTGAGGTCAAGGTAACAGTGGGATGGCTGAAACAATTGGTGAAATCATCCTTGTGTATGGCAGTTGAGTTGTTGGTTGAGGGTGCGCTGTCAGATCTCTTCAAAAGCTGGTGGGCGCTGGCACATTCTATTGCACAAGAGACTAATCTGCCCTTTGACCTTTCAACAGATGTACTAAAGTCTATTTGACTGGGAAGGTTTTTGGTCACAGGCTGAAGATAGATAACTGGTATGATTAATAATAAAAAACTAAATTTTTAAAAATATATAACACTACTACTGAAAAACAGATGCAGTTTTTGTGACATAGATTGTTTTCTATGTACATTTTGTAATAATAGTCAAATGTTATTTATTTCTTGACTTATCTAAAATAGCTATTACAAAAAAATATTTTGTAAGAAAACAGAGCTTACTTGAAAATTTGCCATTTTCTCAAAAGAAATGAGTGTTCCACTTGGTTGTCTATTGTGGGTTTTGTTTCTTTGCTGATTTTGTGACTGGTCATCATGTTCAGTCAGTTCTGAATCTTTACAACTGTGCAAAGATATCTGGGGGAAAAATTGTTAATCATTAAAATAATCCATAACATGTAGAATTTATAAAAGTTGACGCAGTTTTTATTCTGCCAAATAGTTTATTTAAATAATTTTTCTTTTTTTACACAAACCACTTAAAATCTTAAAACTGTATTAACAAAACAAATGAACAAGGTACTTTTAAATTTTAAGTTACAATTTGAATTACCTACCTTTACTTCATCAAATGTGATAGAATTAGGAAAATTACTAAACAAATCTACTGTTAACTTCAGTTCTTCATTCAGACAAATGGAATCACTACTCAGTGTGATGTTCTCAATGAAAACAGCATGGGAAGCTCTCATCTCTGTCTTGCATTCTAAAAAAAAATAACATCACATTTCTTTTTCAATTTTAAAATTATCTAACTTTTTTTTATGCCTATTAGTGTTGGACATTTTCTGGTACAAAGAGACCTCACCTATACTTATAGTAAGGTTAGTTTAGCCTGTCATTCCTCCAAGGACTTAGGCTGCCAACTCATAGTTAGACCATTATTTCAACTATATATAACTTAGTGGAACCAACTCTACCCCACCATAAACCCATCTTTTAAAAGAGCCGATTAGATTTTATTTTTGTTAAAAACTCAAATGAAAATACCTGTATATTTTTCTAAGGTTTCAATAAGTTCATTAAAATAATTAGATCTGTCACTCTGTGCCAAGTGTGGACTACAAGCAATATGGCAAGATGTCTTGAGATACCTGGGGAATAAAACATTCATGCTATGAAATTCTTGATAGAAGATTTTTTTACCTGGCAATATTCAAATTACTCCAGTTATAAATTATTTGCCAGATTGGGGCTACAAATAAAGACAGTTCTTAAGAGCTACAAATAAAGACAGTTCTTACTTGTCTGGATCTTTCAACAACCTCTGGCAGGCTGCCAGTTGCAACAAGGTGCCATCAGCCAAACGGTGCCAGCCTTCCTGCTGGTACATTCTAATAGAGTCTAGAAGAAAATTTTCTGCTTTGTAGGGTTCCTTGATTTTCCTGAAAGAAATTTACATGCTAGTAAAACTATTTTGCCTAGGTAAAAATGTATCTTTAAAAAATGTAACAATGTATTTGTAGATAAGATAGTGGGGGTCAAAGAAGTAGATGCTGGGGTCGTGAGTTTTATTACTTAACATATACAGGTAAGTTAATCAACACAGACTCTAACAACAGATTAGCTTACATGTAAAAGTCAGCTAGCTCTAAGCCTATCATTCTGGCTGAGCGATACCTTCCTATATATTTGTATGTACCCATGGCTTGTTCACACATATCCTGGAAAATAAAACAATACTAAATTGCAGGAATTTAAAACATTTGGTGCTACTGCAGGTAAATGATAAATTATACATTGGCTAAAAATTAGATACTAAAATTAATTACTTGGTGTGTAGTTGCAAAAAAAGGAAACATCAAAAAATTAATTATAACTAGTTAATCAATGTAAAAAGTAATAGATAGTTATTAATATTTACAGTACCAATAAATTAGTGTAAGGAAAAAGCAATTACCAAATAATGTTTTTTGAAAGACTCAGGGGAAGACAATGACTCTCTAAGTTTATCAACTGGCTTCTGTTCTGAGTTGGCTACAATTAAATAAATATACTTTTATTACTATAAAGCATCAAATCAACAGCAATAGTAACTGAACATATAGCAACATAAAATATATCCAAAAAATTACATAACATAAAATTTAAATTGATATAAATTACATATAGTTTCTGCAGAGAGCCCCATCCCAGATACGAGATCCACGACTAAACTAAGCTGCGCTGATGTGGGCACCAATCCTGGCATTAGACTACACAGATGGCCAAGCTCTCTTAACTGAAACCATAATGTCATAGGTATAAAAGGATATTTTTATTTAGAATAGAAACTAAATAACCATGAATACATAATGTGAGAATAAGACTTTTGAATTGTTACCTTTTTGTGAGCAAAGTCCCATAAATTGGCTGTGTATAAAGCAAATTTTTCATCTAACTGTGAGGCATTGTGTACAGTACAAGCATGTAACACTTCTAGACAGCCCAGGAAACCCCAACAACAAACAGCCCCTGATGGAGCCTCAACCTGTCATTTAGAGACAACAATGTCATAAATTATACAGCATTTAAAATTTCTAAATACGTACTAAATAATGTGGTGTATACCAACACTGATGGTGCTCAGTCACTTTGCTACATCCCCATTTAATCTGTTAACTAACTATGAATAAAGCTAGAATATTACCTCTAAAGCTTTCATTTCCACAACAGTATTATACAAGTAGTCCATAGCTCTCATGGCTACTTCCCATGCCCTGCCCATTTGAAACAGCAAGGCTGCTTGCCTACAGAACAGATAGTTTCTAAACTCAAGCAAGCTGGCATTATTCTGCTTCACCTCTTCTCTAAGTTCAAGATCTAGAGACTTTGCCAGAGATACACCAGCCCAGCTAGTACAGGGCTTTATGACATGTGTCAGCCATTTGACAGTATCTGTAAAACATACCCGGTACAATCAATTACAAGGCACATTAAAATATATCGTAAACAGTAATTGAAACAAGATTTAGATATACACGGTATGCAATATTTAAACTGCATTCATTGTAAATCATCCGTAAGAAATAAATAGATACATAAATAAAAATTTAATGAACAGCGAACGTCGCTTTCAGGTAAGAATGAAACAAAAAAAAAAAAAATTTACACAAAATATTTAAAACATTTCTGTTTGAGTTAAAAAAAAAACCTTGGTCCTTTGTTAAATCAAAATGTGAAAATAATGTTTACCTCCATTGGCAAAGTTCTCTACAAACTGATCAAACATAGCATCCAGCTCATCATACTGTATTAGAGCATCCTCCTTTAGCCCCAACATTTCCAACATAAAAGCTAGTTCTTCCTGTAAATAAACAGTTCTGTCTAGTTACAGGAATATGATTTAAATAACCCCTACACATTGGATTTAGCAACTAATTTTAGTACTTAAAAAAAAAAGTGATGTTCAGAAATATGAAGCTTAATTTTTTAAAATAAGTGTTCAAAATAATCTGAATTTACATCAAAAGTAAAAAAAAAAAAAGTTTTTGCCATTTGTTACCTGAATTATGAAGTATGAGAAATAGTTCCAGCCTGGCTCATTGCGTTTCTCTCTCCGACTTCGCATATTTTCTTCATACTTGGTCAGGTGCCTATTAAAGGCCTGTAACAGCAAACTGCGCAACTTTTGAAAGAGTTGTGACCAGGATTCTGATGATTTTGAGTCCAATTTATTTGGCTCAGTTAACACAATGCACCTGAAAAATTGAATAAATAACCTTAAAGAAGCAAAATGGAATTTTAAATTTAAGAGTTTATCATGTAACATTTCAGTAAACTATAGTTTAAATCTGCTTTTTGGTCCTTTCTCTTTGGGGTTTTGGTTATACACATTTAGCTGAAGTGGAGAGAGACTTAGGAGAAAATACAGGTCCTTGGGTTATAGAGTCAAAGGGATCAATGAAAAAATGGTTTAGAGTAGTAAATGGTTTTCTAACCTTTCTTGGTACTTGCTACAAAAGTCACTTTTCACTTTATCAATGACAGATGACCTAGGTAAAAGTTTAGCCTTGACCTTGCTCTCTTCACTGTTTACAACCACAATAAGCCAGTCCTGAATGTTTCTGGCTTTAAGAGCACTTAGCCACTCAGTTATATCATCTTTTACTGTTTGTTTATACGCTTCAACATCCTAAAATATCCGGTGCATAAAATAATTTTCACAAAAAATGTATTTATCCTAATACTAATCTAATGTATGAGCTGAGTAAAATAATGTATGTGAGCTTGGGTTTTTTAAAGATAGGAAAATTACTAAAATGTATTGTAATTATTAATTTCCAAAATAAAATTCTTATTCATTAGGGCCTACATTCCTACATATTTTTAATTAATTAATTTTTTTTACAAAAATAAATCTCAACTTAAAATTATTGTGTACAGCGTTTATTGACTTTATTAACATAAGGTGTAGGTTTTAAATAAACAGGGGAAAAAAAGACTTTTCATTGTGTGGGTACTGATTAAACTCATAGGGAAAAACAATTTTAGGGGAAACTGAGTATTAATTAAGAGGTAATAAAATGTCTTACTTGTAAAAATGTTCCATTAAACCTGATATCAATTTTTACATTTAATTAACAATAACTGAATTACGGTTATTTCATTTAAAAATAGAGTGCAAATCTGTAACCTACACCATCTGCCCAGTACAGATGAAAGTACGGGCGACTAACAAGCGTTTTCTCCTCTTCTTCAGGTAATATATCAGCATCATAAGGCACAAGACTTGCTTCAAGGTTAACCATCCTTGGCGCTCTGCCATAAGATCTACACAAGTTTAAACAAAAAATTTAACATTTAGATTAAAAAATATGTTACAAATGTAACACTTATTTAGTTAAATTGTAAATTAAACAAATATAAATTTTTCAATTATAATTTGGTATTTTACTTGCCTACGCCATTCACATGGTTCTTTAGGTAATCCTTGTGCAACAAGGGGGTTTAAGGAAGTAAAAAGAGATTTATTCCCATGACCTGTAAATTGAAGATGAAATATTAACAGTTACAAGGGCTGAAAAGCTTAATGATCTGCAACTAAGTGAGTAAATTTTAATACTGACTTTTTAAAACTAAATCAGCTAAGTAAAGCTGTTAGGCTACTAGTTAGCCTAGACGTTGCCTAAAAAAAATCGTTGTTTTATTAATTTAATCTTGTAGTGATTAGATGATTCATTGATTAGATTTTAGATTTACATTCTTTATCTTATAACTATAGTATAGTAAGTATAGTGCTACAAACTTATCAATTGAATAAGTAATTATAATAAGTAGCTTAAAGTAAGTGTCCGAGTAAAAGCTATCAAATTTTAAAATAAAATTATATTTTTAAAACCAAATGACCTAGTTATAGTTATGACATGTTTATTTAAATTTTCAGAGATAAAATGGAAAAAAAAATGCTTTTGCTAGACTTTGTTAAAATGAAGATGTTGTTTAGTTACCAAAAGAGAAAAGTACTATTACTAGATCTAAAAACATCAAATAAATCCTAGATCTAGATCTAATAAATGGCCGATTCTAGCCGGAATAAGATACGCATGCGATACGCATTGGAGAGAAACTACGACTTGCCTTAGCGGCGATGTTTTCGATGGTACTGCGCATGCGTGTGTTTACAACCGCAGAATCCTAACGCCTAACACCAACCCTAATCCTATCCTTAACCCTATCCCTAACCCTAATCCTATCCCTAACCCTAATCCTACCCCTAACCCTCATTCTAGCCCTAACCCTAGCCATAGGTCACTGCGCATGCGCAGAGCTATCTTTTGCCGACTAAGTGGAGACGTTGGGGAGAAAAATCTTCTTCCGAGTAGACACTTCGAATAAAAATAGTGCCCAATGCTTACCATGACTTATAAGCAAAATGAAAATGTCTTAGGGCCTAAATATTACTAGAGCCTAAATAATTATTAGATCTAGATTCTATATGATTTTTAATATTATATTAGATCTAGATCTATATATTATTATAAGTTTATTTTAGGTCCTGTGGTCTAGCAGCAGCTTAGGGCTTTTAGACGAAAAATTAAAGAAAGAGTGAGTGTTACTGTGTGTTAAGTAAGAGGACTACTAGAATCTACTACTACAATATTAATTACTGACATGTAACGATAGGCTTCGCTTCATTCATTTTGCGGTATCGTGTAAATGATATGCTTTTAATTACAACTTTAAGACATAAAGTTTATAAAGTTCATTTGTAACTTCAAAGGCCATACTAAAAATTGATGGATACTCCTCGGTTTTGTTTGGGAGGAGATATCGGAAACGAGTTTCGACTTTTTACTTGCATCTATTAAAATATTAACCACACAAACATTAAACGTACAAAACAATAAATGGTCTTAAACAGGTTTTTTTTTTTTAAATTATTAAACTGTTAACTTCTCTTTTGGTAAATACAATAGTTTGTTTATATTTTATTAAAATAATGCATACATCTTTTTTTTTGTAACATTTTTAATGATTTTTAAAAAAAAATTGGCATACACTCATACAGCGGCGTCGCTAGGTCGGATGTCACTCGGTGCTGCACTTTGCGCTTTTTTCCGTTGCGCTTTTTTCTGTTTGCGCTTTTTTCTGTTTGCGCTTTTTTTCTGTTTGCGCTTTTTTCTGTGTGCGCTTTTTTCTCTTTGCGCTTTTTTCCGTGTGCGCTTTTTTCTCTTTACGCTTTTTTCCGTGTGCGCTTTTTCCGTTGCGCTTTTTGTTTTGCGCTTTTTTCCGTTGCGCTTTTTTCCTTTGCGGTTCTTTCCGGCCACCGTCATGCCGAACCCCCCCCCCCCTCCCCCCGCAGACAATCTATCTGGAACGTAATATTAAAATCAAATATCGTCGAAACACATATGACACACAAAACACATGACACACGAAACACATATGACACACGAAACACATATGACACACGAAAACACATATGACACACGAAACACATATGACACACGAAACACATATGACACACGAAACACATATGACACACGAAACACATATGACACACGAAACACATATGACACACGAAACACATATGACACACGAAACACGTGGGTCAAGACATGAAGACAATGCAATCTGAAATTAAATTTGACTTAATTGGATGCCTAATCAATTTTTTGTGAATTAATTAAAATTTAGACCGAATTAGTAGGCATGTCTATCCAACCACACCACACGCGTCATCACGTTCAATAGCTGCGCCATCACGTTCAATGGCTGCGCCATCACGTTCAGTAGGCGCGCAATGGTTTTTAGTCATGTAACTCTATTGTAAATAAAACATGTAAAGTACTGAAAAAAAAATTCATAAAAAAACGTTTTAATAACAAGCTTTTATGTAATAATGCACTAAAAAGTAGAAAATAAATTATAGACTACTATTTAAATTACTATAAAGAAAAGCGTGGGTCTCTTCTCAAATATTAGTAAAGGTATCCAATAGGTACTAAAGTGCTAAAGTGACCCACGCTTTTCTTTATAGTTATTTAAATAGTAGTCTATAATTTATTTTCTACTTTTTAGTGCATTATTACATAAAAGCTTGTTATTAAAACGTTTTTTTAATGAATTTTTTTACTCCCTCCTCTTGTAGGCGTAGGCCTACTGTCATAAAAATTAACTGGGGCAACGTGTATGTTTATTTTTTGTTAAGCGCGACAACTCTTTTATACTGTCGACAGCATCATCCAAGCTTGGTTACTTCCCCTTAAGAGAGGATTATAATATCTGAATATGTGACTTTGTGGTGAGGGTATGTCATGCCACCCCCCCCCCCCCCTCTCCCTACACGGACAATATAGAACACAATATTAAAATCAAATATGAAATAAATAATTTAATCACCGTCCACCCACACTAAGGTAAATGGATGGGGTGAGTGGTGTGTGTGGAGGGGGGAGGGGGGGGGTGACTATGAAGTAAAAACAATCGGTAAAATAAGCTTCCTCCTTAGAGGCATCTTATTTATTTAATAAAATAACATCAAGTTTCAAAGACTAGTTCTCTTTTTTCAATATTGTTTGAACGTATGGGAAAAAATTCTACCTTCCTTTTAAAACATATTAAAGAAATAATACATAAATTGAAACGCGCTGGAAGTTATGTGATGTTGTATTACATTTTTAAAACAAGTTACGAGAAAGATTTCAGAATTATACCCTATGTACTTCACAATGTCGATCGATGCTTTAGTGATACAGAACATAGTTTTAAAAAGTTCTAAGCTTGTTACCAAATATATACTGATATATGTGTATGTTGTCTGGTGACTACAGTTAGATCGGTTGTGTGATGACGGAGTTTTGTGTGTACGTGAAAGTGCTACGTGTAAACAATGTGTAGTGAGATTGTCTGACATTCGTGTATGTTCGATGGGTGGGTGTAGGACAGTGTCTAGTGCAAGGTTAACAAGTGCTCATGTGTTTTGACATGTGGGTGGCTGAGCTAGTGTTCAGGGGACGAACAATGAGAGATGGGAAAAGGGAAACAACTGGTGACACGGACTATGGAGGGAGGGGGGTGTGAAGGAGAATAGATTAAACTTAACACGCATGTCAAAACCTATGACATGGTGTGTTCAACAGCTATTTTACTTTTTATTTTTGATATGGGAAATTTCTTAACGTGTGTTGGCTATTGAAAAGACTTCTCAAGATAAACTAGCTTAACTGTATCGCTTTGCTGTTTTTGGTAGACATATTAAATTGTGTAAGTTGACTGGATTCTGTTGTTCATTCTGTGTGTGTAGATTCTGTGTGGGGATTATGATTTGTTCGTGGGATCAGCAAGGACTGTTTATTTCTGGACATTGCTTCTATGTAATTAATAGGACCCATCACCAAAAAAACCAACAACAGAGGAAACACCAACAAGGCTCCATCAATAAAAGGCCCGATCAACGAGAGGAACAATAAGCTAGAGGACCCATCAGCTAGTGTACCCATCAGCTAGAGACTCCATCAGCTAGATCAACAAGATGATCAAACACAATGAAACTCAGTAAGTGCGTAGCGGGCTTGTATATGTATACAGTAAACAAAAACAAAATATTATAAACAAACTACCACAAACCAACGAACATAAGTTACCACCATTAACTGACAACATACCAACGAACAACAACTAACCCATTAACAGACAACCAACCAAACATAGACCACAAAATTACTAACTTTCAAATGACAAACAATTAGGACGTCATTATACCTCCCAGTCTACAAGTAGGACATCATTACACATTAAGCATGTAAGTAGGGCGTCATCACACATTCCAGTACATAATTAGGACGTCCCAGCATACAATTAAGATGTCATTACACCTCACAGCTTACCATTTGAACGTCATTAAACCCCCAGCCTACAAGTAGAACGTCATTACACTTCCCAGCTTACAAATAGGACGTCATTACACATTTAGTATATAAGAAGGACGTCATTGCAAATCCCAGCACACATGTAGGACGTCATTACATATTCAAGCATACTATTAGGACGACATTACACATTCCATCAAACCATCGGGACGTCATTGCACATTTTAGCATATAATTAGGACCTCATCACCCATTACAGCACACACGTAGGACGTCATTAGACATTCCAGTACATAATTAGGACGTCATTATATATCCCAGCATACAATTAAGACGTAATTACACCTCCAAGCTTACAAGTAGGACATCATTCCACACTCCAGCATAAATGTAAGTCAACCTTGCACCTCCCACCATACATTTAGCACGTCATTACACATTACAGCATACAATTAGCACGTCATTACACATTACAGCATACAATTAGCACGTCATTACACATTACAGCATACAATTAGCACGTCATTACACATTACAGCATACAATTAGCACGTCATTACACATTACAGCATACAATTAGCACGTCATTACACATTACAGCATACAATTAGCACGTCATTACACATTACAGCATACAATTAGCACGTCATTACACATTACAGCATACAATTAGCACGTCATTACACACATTACAGCATACAATTAGGATGTCGTTTCACATCCCAGCATTAAATATGGACGTCATTATACATCTTAGCATACAATTAGGACGTCATTGTACATCTTAGCATACAAATAGATGTTTGGTTTTAAACATTCCAGCATCCAATTAGAAAGATATTACACATCCCAGCATACAATTAGGACGTCATTTCACATCCTAGCATACAAATAGATGTTTGGTTTTAAACATTCCAGCATTCAATTAGAAAGATGTTACACATCCCAGCATATAATTAGGACGTTATCAACATTCTACCATATAATTAGGACTTCATTATACCTCCCAGCTTATAAATAAGACGACATTACATATTCCTTCATACAATTAGAACGCCATTACATATTCAAGCATACAATTAGGACGTCATCACACATTACAGCATACAACTAGGTCGTCATTATACATTTAATAATATAAATATGACGTCATTATACAATCACGCATACATATCGGATCATTAAACATTCTAGCATACAATTAGTACGTCATTACACATCCCAGCATAAAATAAGAACATCATTAATATTCCAGCATACAGTTAGGATGTCATTACATACTCCAGCATATAAATGGGACGTCATTACACCTTGCAGCATACAAGTAGGACGTCATTAATACCGCCTGCCCCTATGTCCCCGTAAGACCTCACAAAACAGCTTTTCATATTTATTTTGAATTGGATTTTTTTTTAAAAATGAAATTATCTTTCTATCAATTTGTCTTTGATTAGGATCAACATTGAGTAAGACAGATCTGCTTTTATTTCGACTTAAAATAAAACATGTTAAATTTTTATTTATTCAATTCTACATTTTTTTAAAATGCGAGAGTGGAACATCACACTACTAGAACCATCTACCACTACTCATAACTGTTCGATCCCCACCCCCTCCCCTTTTCGCTAATCCCGCTAGGGCCGTAGCCTACTGTCTTAAAATTAACAGGGGCAATAAAAATGTTTATTTTCTTTGTCAAGCGCGACAACTCTATTAATACTTTCAACAGCGTCATCCAAGCTTAGTTACTTCCTCTTAATAGAGGATAATATTTGAATATGTGTCATGCAACCCCCCTCCCCCCCCCCCCCCCCCCACACACCCCTCCACGGACAATATAGAACGCACTATTAAAATCAAATATGAAATATATAATTTAATCATCGTCCACCCACACTAAGGTAAATGGATGGGGCGAGTGGTGTGTGTGTGTGGGGGGGGGGAGGGAGGGGTGACTGAGGTAAAA